AATTGTCTATTAAAGGTAACGTCCTCTTGTACATTAGTCAAAACATTACATCTGTAACCCTGTTATGAGCTGTAGACAACTGTCTTCCACCATTGTTGAATTCTCTGCTTCCTTGGAAAAGAACAATTTCTTCAGTATTTTCAAGCTAACATCAGGAAGAATGGCAGCACTCTACAATCAGTGGGTACCTTATCTCTTTTATAACTGAGCTCTCTGCCCCCCACCCCCAGCCAGCACATCCTTGTCAATCACCACCCCCAACACAAAAGCTCTGGTGCTCCTTTTAGATCAAGGGGAAAGATCTCTTCAGACTTACAGCCTTGTGATGTGAAGCAATACAGTACAGTTCTGAATGACACGACTCCTTGATTAAATATCTGCCAAGAGATAAATGGAACCATCCTAATTTATGGGATTATTTATCTTTTAATATCTCTATTTATAATCTTTATGTATTCATAAAAGGATATTACAAAGCAACTAATAAATGAATGATGAAAGAAAATCAAAGACTAAATCTAAACTCAAAAGAAACAGCCAAAACATTAGAAGAGGCCAAATGACCCATGTGGTACAAACACATTAGCCAGCTCAGCAACACCAAAAGGACTGAAAAGCCACAGAAAGCGAAAAATATGGGGAAAGAAAGGAAAATTTATGGCATAGGCATGTAAGGCTTATTGATGATGTGACTAGTGATAGAAGTAGCAGGATGAATTCTGTACATGTGTACACATGTACAGGGCTGTACTCTCCTCTGTTTTAGCCAAATGCTGCTAGCCGGATTATATGGTGATTTAAGGTGCAAATGGATAATGACCCAAAGCATTTTGCAAAAGCAAACCAACAGTTTCTCAAAGCAGAGAACTGAAATATTCTCCAGTGTCACAACAGTCCCCTAAGCTCAACTCAACACAGCGTGCTTTTAAAGAGTTGTTAAATACCAAACTAAATGCAGAGAGCTGCACAAAGAAGCAGTAAATGTTTGGCTGGCAGAGCGTTTTCAGCGAAGAAACACAGTTCTAGGCTGTTGAAAATGGGGGGCTATGTACAAAAATAGCTGTAATTGCTAAAGAAATAATTATGGACCGTAAAACACAAAAAACAAGTCAGCAGGTGGGGCTGTTCTGTAGCAGTAGGTACCAGGTACCTTTTAACCTACTTCTATGTGTATTGTCTTAAGACAAACAATGCTACATTTCTACTAATCTATAAAACAGGGCTTTGCCTTGCATTAGATTTTAAAAATACTAAGTGCAAAACAAGATTTTAAGCTTGGTATTAAGGCTTAAAATATGGTTCATATTGTATGGATAGCACAGAACATTTGGAATCTTAAACTATGCAATGTTTCTTATACAACAGATAAGAAATAATTGTCTTGTCCTTCCCCAATCGCCCACACTTAGATTGGAAGTCTTCATTTGAAGTAGTTCACCAAACAGTGGATAATGCGTAACATCCCTAAAGAGGTGCCTGCTTCTCACTCTAATGTACACTGTTTATTCATGCGCCATTTGAATGCTGGTAATTGCTAGCAAGATCAGTTTGGCTTCCTGCTTCCAGTGGCTCCTGCTACTGACACCCAAACTTCAGGATGGAGTGTAAGGTGTATGTTTCTCTCCTGGCCCTGACTCCTGAGCTGCAGCCAGCAAGGGGGCTGACGTGCTGCTCTCTGGCATTGGTTAGCCTCCTGCTGCTCAGTCAAATGAGTCTGCAGTGGACATCATCCATCTGAAACAATCAGCAAGCTAACCAGTTGGTCCTCATGATTCTAATGAGCTGTATTAGGTTCCTTATCCCTCTATCATCGAAAGGTCACGTTACCCAATGCTGATCAATGCCAAGCATAGGGAGCTTGGAGAGGTTTTCTACACTAGAATAATTTTTCTCAGCACTACATTTTGCATATATAGTTAAAAAAAAAGAAGAAAAAGAAGCAGAAGTACAAACAAATTACATCGTGCACTTTTCCAAATACTTATGGACTAACGAAAGAAATCAGCAGGTGGTGCTGCGGATTAGGTATCCACTGAACCTGCTTTATGTGTAACATCCAGAGGCAGACTAAACTAAGTTTCTAGAGTAATCTAAGTAAGAACTAATATCTCTAAATTTGACAAATTAGCACTTTTGGGGTAAAAGAAAATTGTATACACCACTTATAACACTTAACATCTCCAAGCAAGCACCCATTTTCCACTCTGACGTATGCGGTTGTTTCGTGTGATGTTTATGTGCCAGCGCTTACTTGGAGGCTCAGTATTGGTGTCAAGCCTTTGTGTTTTAGTTCTGATGTTCCTGAAAAAAATATTTTGCTGTATGCACATTGGTTAATTTGTTTTATTGTTTTTACTAATAATAAAAATATTAGGAGTAATAGTAATATTATGCAACTGCAGTTTATACGGTACTATACTGTAGAACAAGGGAGTCCACATGTTTTTAACCATAATGAAATGCAGAAAATACTGAGAGGTTAATGCTCACAAACACTGAGATTTTAAATTTATCACAGATTTTTCTAATTTAGTTATAGTTTTTTTTCCCCATCTTATAATCTATATACAAGAAACCATAAGCCATCTTATTTAGCTTTATGAGAATGATTACTCTAGTAACTGTTTTACCAAATTTAAAGACTAACTCATTTCAGTTGAAGCAGTAAAAGAATTATCAGCCTTCTTCCTGGAATGTGTAGTCATATTTACATTCAACAGGTGCCACACTGCATCTACAATCTTGTACCATTTTATCTGAGTTGAATCTATATTTTCTATATTTAATCTATATACATTTTTTAATTAAAATTGATCTAAAATCAAAATTCACAGCTGTGAATACACACTACAACATAGGTTTCTTCACAGCTGCAGGTTTCTCCCTATGAGGATACATGTTTACATTCAAAGCAGGTGAGGATGTGATGATGGTATCACTCAGCAAACCTGTCCAGCAGGTTTTGCAGTTTCTGTTCCTGTTTTATGACCTCTCCTGTTACATCTCTCTCTCTGTCATTCTTTGTCTCACCTGCTTCTCAGAAACGAGGTGAGCAGCAGGGCATTGCACGTCCTAGACCAGGTTTAAATAAAGGAGTGGCTTTTTCACCTTGTAATTCCCTGCTGTTTTTTTCCCTCTTTACCTGAAATCAGACGGACAGTCTCCCTTGTAAATCGTGCCAAATACCTGGCACAATTCAGGAAAACAAAATCGACTTAAATGTCTAGAAAGCATCCTTCTACGAACAAATTAATCTATACTTTCAATCACAGGTGGTAAATAATACCGGGTTCAATGGCCACAACAGATCATTTTGCTTACATCTGATGTATTATATACACAAAAAATGTAGCTTTGAATGTGAGCTCTTGTTGCAGGGAAATGGGACCATCTGGATGTAATCATCTGTATGTGGGCTTGCATTGAAAACAGTGAATGCGTTGCTTCTGAGAATGACTAAACATAAATTTTTTCTTGGATTTTTTTCAATATTCAACAGGCTAATTCATTGCTGTTCACTTCAAGGCTTGTATTACTTGTAATACTTAGTCTAGTTACTCCAGGCTTTGTTTGGGTGGCCTTGGAATATATTTATAACACATAAGACCCAAACCAATCTTATAAGAATTTTACAAGCTGCCACTGTATAGTAAAATGGCCTGTAAATGGCCTGTATTTGTATAGCGCTTTACTAGTCCCTAAGGACCCCAAAGCGCTTTACATATCCAGTCATCCACCCATTCACACACACATTCACACACTGGTGATGGCAAGCTACAGTGGGGCAAAAAAGTATTTAGTCAGCCACCGATTGTGCAAGTTCCCCCACTTAAAATGATGACAGAGGTCAGTAATTTGCACCAGAGGTACACTTCAACTGTGAGAGACAGAATGTGAAAAAAAAATCCATGAATTCACATGGTAGGATTTGTAAAGAATTTATTCGTAAATTAGGGAGGAAAATAAGTATTTGGTCACCTCAAACAAGGAAAATCTCTGGCTCTCACAGACCTGTAACGTCTTCTGTAAGAAGCTTTTCTGTCCCCCACTCGTTACCTGTATGAATGGCACCTGTTTGAACTCATCATCTGTATAAAAGACACCTGTCCACAGCCTCAAACAGTCAGACTCCAAACTCCGCCATGGCCAAGACCAAAGAGCTTTCGAAGGACACCAGGAAAAGTATTGTAGACCTGCACCAGACTGGGAAGAGTGAATCTACAATAGGCAAGCAGCTTGGTGTGAAAAAATCAACTGTGGGAGCAATCATCAGAAAATGGAAGACATACAAGACCACTGATAATCTCCCTCGATCTGGGGCTCCACGCAAGATCATCCCGTGGGGTCAAAATGATCATGAGAACGGTGAGCAAAGATCCCAGAACCACACGGGGGGACCTGGTGAATGACCTGCAGAGAGCTGGGACCAAAGTAACAAAGGTCACCATCAGTAACACACTACAACGGCAGGGAATCAAATCCCGCAGTGCCAGACGTGTTCCGCTGCTGAAGCCATTGCATGTCCAGGCCCGTCTGAAGTTTGCCAGAGAGCACATGGATGATACAGCAGAGGATCGGGAGAATGTCATGTGGTCAGATGAAACCAAAGTAGAACTTTTTGGTATAAACTCAACTCGTCGTGTTTGGAGGAAGAAGAATACTGAGTTGCATCCCAAGAACACCATACCTACTGTGAAGCATGGGGGTGGAAACATCATGCTATGGGGCTGTTTTTCTGCCAAGGGGACAGGACGACTGATCCGTGTTAAGGACAGAATGAATGGGGCCATGTATCGTGAGATTTTGAGCCAAAACCTCCTTCCATCAGTGAGAACTTTCAAGATGAAACGAGGCTGGGTCTTCCAACATGACAATGATCCAAAACACACCGCCCGGGCAACAAAGGAGTGGCTCCGTAAGAAGCATTTGAAAGTCCTGGAGTGGCCTAGCCAGTCTCCAGACCTCCGAAACCAGTATGATAACATTACAGGAATGCTGATAGTATCGCAGTTTTAAAGCTTTGTAAAAGAGGTGCACTGGGCAGTGTTTTCATTAGACAAGAGACGAGAGACGAAACTTTATCCTTCCAAACAATGCAGGCAAAATCTGAGATTTTAGCACTGGTCCTGGGCGCCCTGGGCTTATGTGGGACAATAGTCACCACTTGTCTGCCCCATTGGAGGGTTTCTGCCTTCATCGGTGCCAACATCATCGTCATGGAGGAGCTCTTAGAGGGCTTGTGGATGAACTGCTACCGACAGGCTAACATCAACATCCAGTGCAAGGTGTATGACTCGCTGTTAATTCTCCCACCAGAGCTGCAGGCAGCGAGGGGGCTCATGTGTGTCTCCATAGTCCTGGCTTTCATCTCGTTGTTGCTCACAGGATTCGGGATCCAGAAGAGCAGCTGTTGTGGTGACAATTTAAAGAGTAAGAATATCACCTATGCATTAGGAGGGATTCTGTTTCTACTTTCCTTTTTGACCACACTCATCCCCGTAAGCTGGGTGGCCCATACTGTCATCAGTAACTTCTATAACCCGACAACGCTGGATGCTCAGAAGCGGGAGCTGGGATTGTCCCTCTTCATTGGCTGGGCCACTTCTGGTGTTTTGCTAATCACCGGGATCATTGTGCTGGTTAGGTACAGCAAACGCAGTGCAAAGGAAGATCAGCGCTACATTGAAGCATATCATATGGTGAAAAGGAATGAACAGAAGGCGGACAGTGTTGACTTTTCAAGAGCGAAATCTAGTTTTCATACAAATCAGGAATATGTGTAAATAACTGTACTGCAGTGTACTAATTGCATATTAGATGTCTCTCCGTATATTTATGAGCAACATGTGTTTTATTTGCAATGATATATTTAAATCAATATGTAACCATGTTCTATTGTACTATGCATTTGTCTTGTCTGCACTGTTTGGTTTACAGATGCAGCAAAAATATTCGGTTAATATGCTGTACACGAATAAACAACATTGCCTGTGTTTAAAGTAATATAATTTTTGGCAAATCTATATTATCACTGATCAACAATACACTGCTTGCAGTGGCTATCACCGATCAACTTCAATCTTAATGCAGCTCTTACTCCAATGACCCTGAGAATGTCATCACTGTTTTTAAGTACTTTTTTGGCTGCAAGTCTGTATTTATTTAAGTCATTTTTGTTGTGCTTAATGATGAATTTCTCATCTGAGACATGACAAATGCAACTGCTTCCCTGTCTTATTTCATTATATTTCATGATCTAATAATCCCGCCAACCAAGTGAACAGATAATTTATTAAAATCTTTAATTCAGTTTGTTTGTGTGATTCAATTCATAGAATTTCTACTTTTTTGTGGAAAGCAAATACTTGACCAACACTCCATTCAGGTATTTTTCTTGTACTAAAAACCTAAGGTGGAAAAGTGAAAACAGCCAATGAAGAAGTGCCTCATTTTCACATTTGACAGAACAGAAACTAAAATGTTTCTGTGGCTGCAACAAGGGAACGACCCTGTGTGATAATGACAAAAGGCCCTCCCTCTCAGGTTTCTTTGTGCGACACCTTTTCATCAGCTCGTCTTACGTGTAGAGAAGCAGTGCGTTTCACATCTGTGATCATCCACCCATCAGCTTTCTGTTTGTGAGATGGAGTCGTTTCCTACGCCCATTAGTGTAGTTGGATGCTACAGTTGTTATATTAGTTTTATTCATTTTTTCAACATTTATAGCAAGTCTTTTTTATCTGGCAAATCCTTTCAAATGATAAAACTGGCCACACATTGCATTAGTTAATTTTAAGTTAGCACATGTAATAGTACTGAGATATTACATCGTATGTTCACAATACATTTTCCCTATGCTAAATGTTCTCTAAAATTACGTCAAGTATTTCCGTGTAGTATTAAAAATATCTTACATACTTTTCATTAACTTTGACTTTTTTTGCTTGATTTTTTTTTTAAATATGATGTTGATTAAACCTTGATGTTACTGTGGTAACAAGATTTAGTGATTTTTAATAACTAAAAACTAACGACTGATCATTAGTACTGGAGGTATTCAAAACAAGCAGCACTCCTTTGTGTCTCGCCATTTATCTGATGGCTCTGAAGCAGCTTAACCAGTAAGGCTGCATTGCATCATTAGCATAGTTTTTGTGGGTGTATAAGTTCCTCAACTTGTTGTTCTCAGATTTTTCTCTTCAGCTGTATAAGTGCACCAGAAGGTTGAGATTAAGCTTTCTGTGTTAACCAGAATGGCCACTTACACTGCTTACAGTGGCTACAGCAAGCCACCTCAATCTTATGTTGGCAGTTACTACGATGGGAAGCCGGCGCTGACAAATGGAGAGTACGGAGAGTATGGGGACTCTGTATATGAGGAAAAGAAGAAAATTGAAAAACGGAAGCAACGAAATGCTATCTGCTGTGAGGTAGTAGCTCTCATCATTGGCTTCATTGGACTAATTGGCGTTGCCGCTGTGACGGGCCTGCCGATGTGGAAGGTAACAGCCTTTATTCAGGAGAACATTATTGTCATGGAGACCCGCTGGGAGGGTTTGTGGATGAACTGCTACAGACAAGCCAACATCAGAATGCAATGTAAAGTGTACGATTCCCTGCTGTTTCTGCCTCCTGATCTCCAGGCTGCCAGGGGTCTGATGTGCAGCTCTGTGGCTCTGACCACCTTCGCCCTTATTGTTTCAGCAGTGGGGATGAAATGCACAAAAGTGGTGGACCACCGGGCTCGTACCAAGCATATTGTTCTTGTGGCTGGTGGCTGCCTGTTCCTCATGGGTTGCCTTACAACCATAATTCCTGTGTCCTGGACAGCCCATGTCATCATCCAAGATTTTTACAACCCTCTACTGATTGATGCCCAGCGTAGAGAGCTCGGGGAGGCCCTTTACATTGGCTGGGTGACTTCAGCGTTGCTTTTCAGTGCCGGAGTGATCCTGCTTTGCCGCCATGCTCCCCGCACCCAAGATCCAGATGAAAGGTTTCAATACAACCCCACAGGAAGCTTCTACCAACCCGCATACACCAACCAGCCAGCATACACCTACCAGCCAGCATATACCTACCAGCCTGCTTACTCTGCAGCCCCACCAGGATCTGTGATATACGCACCAAGTCAATACTAAAGATTTTTGGACTTTTTTAAAAATAAACTTGCCAAAATTTGGCACATTTGATGAGGAGAACTGATTAACTGTCGTTCACTTGAAACAACCAGATATTTCTTTACTTATCAAAGTGTACTGCAAATACTCCGAATCATTATGGACTTGAATGTGTTTCGATGCTGACAAACTGCTGGATTTCTATATTCCTTGTTTGGGGTTTTTTTTTTTAACCCTTTTGCTTAACTCACACTAAATTATATTCTAGCACAGTATGTGTAATCTATTACATCTGTTAATGTTACAACAATTGCATGTTGATATTGCGTTCTTTACAGTTTCTGACTTGCTCTCCAAGAACAAATTGTCAACTAGGCCCTTTTTTCAGATTGTAAACCAGTGATTTGTTTTCAACACTGTTATAAATTAAAATATTACATACAAGTTTTTTCAAAATGCTGGCCAAAATATCTGGCCAAATTTGTTTTTTTCCTAATAAAGTAAATGGCTTGTAAAAGAGAATCTTGTTGTATTTTTTTCCCCAATGTCTAACACAACAGTACATAGCTGATCAAGAAGTTAAAGGTGCATTATAATGTAAGCAGTGTTTCAGTGCTGACAAATGATCTTAAATTTGTTGTAAATTTCCAAAACCTCCAACTGAAACTGCACTTTCTTCACTCACTAGTGAGCAAATGGAAATATATGTCATTTCTATTGTAGTGTGTGGAAATGTGCCTAAACTAGTAAAACCAGGCTGTTTACACAGATCCACCCACTGTACAAACCTACCAGGTGACTTTATTTCAACCAAACAGGAATTGGTTGCTTTTTTTTTTTTTTCCCTGAGAGGAGAGTGACACAAGAGACCCAGACAAGAAATCCAGTACTGACAGTCATGCATGTGTAACATTTGAGACCCTTAAAGCAAACCAAAATATATAAGAATATTAAAAAAATATACAAACGCACACACGCACGTACAAATTGTTTCCTTTTCACGGTACTTCTAAAATGTACTTATCAAATGTATAAAAAAAATGTTGAATATTTGTCATAATTTGCCATACTTTGTTCTTTCCCCCCGCCGTTCTACTACTACTCATATTCTGTTAAAACTACACATCTCTCATATCTTTCATACACACACAGAAGCAGACTTCCCCCGACCCCACTGTTTGTCTTGTCTGTTGTGCGCTCCTGTCTTTAACAGTGTGCTTTACAAAAATGGGGGACAAAGAGTTTTGTCCATTGCTGTTATTTTGTGTCTCCAGTTCCCCTACATGCCCATGTACCATGAGGCCCTCCACAATAGCAGTAAATGATTAAAAATAAAGATGAAGTAATAAACAGGAAGTGAATCAGAACTGATTTTTGATCTGTAACTATAACTGGTAATACATTAACAGAGTATGTTTACCAGTGATACATTTGACGATTCTGAACATGCCCCCATTGTTAAGAAACACCTCGTCGTTTTGTCTTCTTTTAAACCGAAGTCCAAGAATGTAAACTGAGACTTCTGAGTAAACAAAGGGGGAAGCTTAGAGCAGCTACTGGGTTGCTGTACAAAGAATTAAAGGCCCAAGGGATTCAGTTTCCTAGCAACATGTCACAATTCCCACTACCTCCCATTCTGGTGTTATGTCCACAGGGAGGAGGGTGTACAGGTAAACATGAATCTGCTCCTCCTCCATCGGGATGCAAAGCCACTCCACAGAGAAAACCTACTGCTTCCTACAGCAGTTACACTGTGTCCGCACACTATTGCTCTTCTGAGCTTGGATGAGTAAGTGAAGAACAGGATGGCAAACTCAGCACTGGAGATTGTGGGTCTTTTAGTATCCCTAATCGGGCTGATCGGGGCAGCAGCAACTACAGGAATGCCTATGTGGCGCGTCACAGCCTTCATTGGAGACAATATCATCGTGTTTGAGACTCTGTTTGAGGGCTTGTGGATGAATTGCTACCAACAGGCAAGCTTCAGGATGCAGTGTAAAGTGTACGACTCTCTCCTGGCCCTGACTCCTGACCTGCAGGCGGCAAGGGGGCTTATGTGCTGCTCTCTGGCACTGAGTGGTCTTGGTGTGCTGATCAGTCTGATAGGCATGCAGTGCACATCATGCATCCAAAACAATGATCGAGCTAAGCGGCTGGTTCTCATCATTGCTGGTAGCATGATCATATTGGGTTGCTTCTGTGTCCTCATCCCCGTCTCCTGGACGGGTCACGTCATCATCACTAACTTCTACAACCCCTTGCTGATCGATGCCCAGCGGAGAGAGCTTGGAGCAGCTCTCTACATTGGCTGGGTAACTTCGGCTTTCTTGTTTGCTGGAGGATGCATTTTTATTTGCTGTAATATACAGTCGGATGACAAAGATTCAGAGCGATACCTATACTCCAAGGCCTCAGACTATTCGGTCTACCCTCAACAGCCACTACAGCCTCTACAGCCTCAACAACTGATGACGCTTCCCCAACCACGATCTCAGCCAATGCTATCAAGATACCCATCGTCTGTCTACAGTTACCAGTCCAGATATCCCTCTGTACACAGTGCACACAGTGGGGTCGCGTTTCTGTAAACACTTATTTTTATTTTTGTTTTTTTAATTGATCAGAAACTGCATTTCAGGTTTAAGAGAAAATGTGTGTGAACCAATACACCATTTCTACTGCATTATGTGTATTAATTCAATTTGATACTAACAGCCTTATATTTTATACAAATGCTTAAAAAAAAGTGTACATTTATGCTGTATATAACAATTTAATTCAATCTTTAACCACTGAAAATTATTAAAAAGTTGACTTACTGTAAAACATGCACTTTGTTAATGGGACATGTCATCTCTGAAAAACAAGCGTAGTTGTAACTACATTTAACCCTCTCAGGCTCAAATTAAGTTTTTGTTGCTAATGCACAAAAGAATACCTGCAGTGGTACTTGTGAGTAAAAAAAACTCATAAAATATGCATGTGGGGTAATCAGGTTGTTAGCTTTTAACTGTTGCAAATCTGCAACGCCTGCCTTGAGAGTGTTAAAGCTTTAGTCATTTCAAAAAATATTTCTTAACTGTGTCTGAGCTGTGCTGCTAAAAAAGAAAAGAAACAGCTCAAACTCATCTCTGTGGCACAAATAGTCTCTCATTGTCACATTGTCACATTCTGTTTCTTCTTTTTTTTTTTTGTTAATCGTTACTAATCAGTTTCAACTAGTATTCAAATCAAAAGTAATAACTAAATGATGGCAGGTGTAGAAGTAGTACAAGAAAAGACCAACAAACACATAACGCTTCATGTGTGAAATGAAAAGAAGAAACAGTTTTCATTTTTCATTATGAGAATTTCACTGGAAAGTAAATGCATCTATCTAAAATACCTCCCAAACTAGGACGTTTATGGCGTTTATGGTGTTTGCTTAACCAAAAAAATCCTGAATCTGTTTAAGTTGGCCGGGTAAAGAGGAAATAGTTACATAAAAACAAGATACTGGGTTAAGGCTACTTGCTTAAGGTGTGGCAGCATAGCCAGATAGTTACAAAGAAAGCATTGAGACAACGGCATAATCATATGATCCAAATTTGCAAGTCACTTTGAATAGAAAACCAAGCAGACTGTGTTAAACATTTCTGTCTCTGTTCAATAGAATACGACTTCTTAATCGAACAGGTCGCTTAATTTCAGTTTTAGTAAGTTCAAATGTAAACTGTACAACTTGAACTTCAAAATAAAACAGTAATGTCACTGCTGTTGGGTAACGCAAATACTTGTGACGTAAGGACAATGTAGTGTTTATTGTTGCTTGAGGTTTCGCGCAATAATTTCTGAAGCCATAATGAATACATGTTGACAAGTTCTGTACATAATTTAAACTTAGACATCTAAACTGTAACTATCTAGAACAAACTGTATTTGGCCTGTGTTATGTGAGATCCCCCTCATTTCACTATCCTCTAAGGTCATCTCTGCTCCCCTGTGGACAATATAAGAACTACATGCGCTGTACTAAACTGTACCACATATTAATGTTTGCTTCTGGGTTGTACCGCATCTAAAGAGTAAGAAAACATGGCAAATAATTAAAATTAAAATAAAAAAAAAAAAGTGCTTGGTGTTGTCTTGTTTTGTGTGTACAGTGTTGGAGAAAGTAATGACTGACCCCTATCATCTGAGAACCATAAACACAAAATAAGCAGACCTCCTGCTACCCTCATCCCTCTAAACCAATCAGGTGAATGCAGGGCCTCTTACCCATAACAAACTGTCTCGTACAGCAAGCAACTGTTGTGGATGAGAGCCATTCTAATTCTGGATTTAACCACAACTGGAGTTTTGGAGATTTAACCATGATTCAAGGTGCTTCAGAGCTAGCTGCAATATGCGTGGGCTTGGTTGGCTTGATCGGTGCCTCGGCTACCACGGGGTTGCCCATGTGGAAGGTGACCGCGTTCATCGGAGAAAACATAATTGTGATGGAAACCCGCTGGGAAGGCCTATGGATGAACTGCTACAGACAAGCCAACATCAGAATGCAATGTAAGGTTTATGACTCCCTGCTGTATCTGCCCCCTGAATTACAGGCTGCCAGGGGTCTGATGTGCTCTGCTGTGGCCTTGTCAGCGGTGGGGCTTCTTGTGGCTCTGGCAGGAATGCGATGTGTGTCCTGTATTCGGGGTAATGATTGGGCTAAGACCATTATATTGATGGTTGCAGGGGTTATGCAGTTCATGGCGTGCATCTGTGTCTTTATCCCAGTGTCGTGGACAGGTCATGTTATCATTACAGATTTTTACAATCCTTTGCTGATTGATGCCCAGAGAAGAGAGCTAGGAGAGGCTCTTTACATTGGATGGGTGACAGGTGCTGTGCTTTTCGCCTCATCCCTGTTGTTTGTCTGCCGCCGTTTGCCCAAAGGCAAAAGCTCGTTTGATATGTATCACCCACCAAACTTACTTAGTTATAAGCCAACGCCCAATAGGCCAGCTCTGATGAATTATCATCCCCTGTCCAGCCTTCGATCGACTGGTTCCGTTGGACAAAACGCTGCAATGCCACTGCAAACTGTCATTCCAGTAAGGACAAATAATGGAACAGTATTAAACCCACCTGTTGTCTATAATCTGACTCCTCAGGAAAACGCATCACTGCTATATCAAGGCAGTATGTCTCATCACCCCTCAGTGCAGAGCTCTAACCACAGTGGAAACTTGTATGCTCCAGAGAACTCCTTATACATGAGTCAGAACACCACACCATATTCACTCACTTATGTTCCCACCACGTCCTACCAGTCCAGCTTCCATCCAGTTCCACAGACTCCTATTTTCATAACATATAAAGAATCAAGAGCTCAATCAGTGCCTTACAGTGAGATGAGAGGTGGTGTATACATATAAGGAAAAATCCACAACTGAGTTTAATCCTAATGCATATACTGAATAATACTGAACGGTGTGTTTAAAGTTTTTGTACTGTTAATAACTGTTTTAAATGTTTTGCACTGTGGAAAAAATGTCTGCTTTTATCAAATGGGACACAACCATTGTTATTAGTATACACAAAGATGAGCCTTTGTAAACCATTTAACCTCTGTAGAAATCACCAGGATGGAAAGTTATAGCTTAATGTTTTGCAACCTTTTGCAGCCATTTGTTCAAAAACCTCTAGAATTGTTATCGTTATCACGATGTCTCAGTGTGTGTTTTGCTATCATGATGTGTTTTCCACCAGCCAGATGTATAAATAACTTGTTATTATTATTATTGCTTGCCTGTAATTTCGATTAGCAATGATCATTAAAACCACATTTTAATTTACAAATGTTAGTAGCTGGCAGGTGTTTTTTTTTGTTTTGTTTTTTTAATGCAACACTTCACTCTGTAGGTGTGTATAAACTGTTTATATTTCCCAGAGGGAAAACCTTTTTTTTCCAGAGATAGCAGTGAGGGTAGATTAAGGGTATATGCTCTGTGAGGTCCCAGAAGCCCGTTGAATTCTTCTTTCTGCATTTTGAGCAAGTTTGATCATGGAAGACATATTTTATGGTAAAAAAAAAAAGCAAATGTTCCTAGAAAAGTAATGATGAAATTTCTTGTTTTAAAGCTCTACTAAACTAAACTACTTAACTAAAAACTCAAACCACATTAAAATCTAAAACAATGAAAAATTAAAGTTGCTAAAAATGAATTTGACATGCATATTATATATATATTTTTTAAATATTTTAGATATGTAACAAAAGATTGTTTGAAACTAAAGACAAGTGTGGTTCACACAAATTTGTGAACCGCACATTGGACTTATTTGAGAAATCAGAAATTAATCGAGCATAACAGTCAACCACTAAAACAAGCAAGCAAATAATTTGCATTTCTAAACATTCTAATAATAAAATGTGTTTTATTATCATTATTTACTTTTTTGTAAATCAGTGAATTTTAAAATTTAGCGATAAAACAAAAATAGTTATATTTTAGCTTTAAAATACGATCTTAATTAAAAACCTTCCACACAGTGGTGGATTAACCATTACAGAAACATAAGAAATTATTTTGTTAATCACCAGCACTATTAATTTAGGGCGTCTTTGGCATAAATCTTGCATTAGGTGGTGGACTAATAAATGTGTTAAACTGTGTACTGTATATACTTATATATTTTATGAATACATGCTGGCAATTAAAATCTCTTCACAATGCAAATCTTCAAAACAAATTTTCTATACTGACATCATATCACCACTAGATGACACCAGAGATCTTTCCAGTGCAGTTTTTTAAGTTGGCGAGCTCCAGATAAAGAAGAGACACATATTATGAAGCTAAATATCATAATATAGGAATAAATTGGGGGGGGGAGGGAGCACCAGGATTAAGCTTAAAGCAAAGCAAAAACTATCCATGGTCAAGCAACAGTATCTTTTTGTTCTCCATTCACATGTTCAGCCACAACAAGAGATTTTTTTTGATCATCAGTTTTGGAAGTCTCATGTTAAAATATGTCCATAACATGTATGCTGTTGGATGTACGTAAACTATTTTATTTGACATTGTGATAAATTCATTACATTTTACTTACTAGAAAATGAATTTTAAAGAGTACTTTACAGTTGAGGATATTGAGCTTTTACTTTGTGAGTGGGAAAAAAAAAACAGCTTAAATATCACTCTCTAATTTAGCCAATTTACTGATAATCAAAAATATAGTAATTACACTAATCTCAAGAAACCCATCAGACATTCTTGGTTCAGAATGGCCACTTCAAATCTCAAGCCACTCTTCCTCAAGGAATAAAGCAAAGAGTATCAAGGTAACCTGAACACATTTTATTTAACTACAAGACCGCGGCAGTTGAACGGTTTGAGGTAGTTAATCTTCAAGGGAGCGTCAACGACCAGTATGGAGATTAGATTTGCGTTTCCATCAGGACTGGACCAAAGATTTAATCATTCCTTGGTGTACCAAAGCAGAGATCTTGTCGAGGTCGAATGTTGCCAGATTTGAAGTTAATCTTCAGGACGTATCCATGTTTGCGGATCAGCGGCTTGGCAGTGCCCTCAGTTGAGCGCCTGTATGGGAAGGATCTTCAACTGTGTCGAGTGAGCCGATGACACAGTGAGCGACAGCGGAAACGAGGCGAATTTGATTTCAGAATTAAAGCACTGAAATAAAAGGTGTTTCGGACAGAGGATGCCAAATGAGTCATCAACATATTTATGTGATTAAAGCCTCGGGAAAATAAAAACACACTTTGCTCAGTATAAAAATGAGGGACATTCATGGCTATGTATTTTATTGGGGGAAAAAATGTATGTATGTGTTACATTATTATTTGATTTCTATTCTTTGTTAAATTAAATAAAAGAATGTTGTTCATCTTCTGTATGGTTCCAAATTGATTTCCATTTCATCTTTTATTGTGAAATTTGTAAGCAGAAGCTGTTTCCCGTTGCTGCTTACTTGACAACAGGAGCCCAGTGCGGTCCTCCTCCTCAGTTGCAGCCTACAATTCAAGTGTGCACCGGGAAAAACATGATAAGAAGGCTATCTGGACAGTGAATATGGGAAACAAAACCTTACAGGCATACAAAGGATCCTAGAATGGAAAAATCTGATCAAATCTTTTGATCAGTGACAACTTCAAGTGGAGTGTGTGGTTGTGTTGTTTCTTTTTCTCACCACAATGTGTGAGGGATGGATATGGGTCGGATGCCAGTTTATTTTCGTTACGGATACAAGGACTGGCAGGTTATCAGCATGAATTACTAAGGGGAAAAAAGAAAAATAAATTTGCCATAAATGTTAAATTCAGCTCTGGAGGAATGACCATGGTGAAAAGGAAGGGACTGTTATTTTCGCTGCTGTACTTTATGGCAGAGTTTTGGCTCACTTCGCAGCAAGTCCTGAGAATTGGTAAGTGGTAAAAGTGTCCATGTCATAAATATTTATATAATAACTGTTAACATGTTGGCTGCCACTGCGCTCGTCAGCTTTTTCCATCGCTGACCCAGTTATTATGCAGTCTGGGTTGCATCTCATTTCCCACTGGGGTAAAAAAATATTATGTATCAAGGATTTCAAGCTAGAGCCTTGAAAAATTGGCAATACTTTCTGTGCAACACTGATTGGAATTGTTAAAATGTATTTTCCCTATAGAATGGCACCTAAATAATTAAATGAATACATAAAATATATAAATACAGTTTTGTGGTTTCTCGTAATGCAAGGCATTCTTAATCTCTCTCAGTGCGAGTGCAGCATGTTGTTTCATTTCTTTTAAAAGAACAAAGAAGGCAAATTCAATTACGGCCAAGATTTGTGAAATGATGTCTGTTCATTGCAAATGTACATCTCAGTTACTGTAGTTGAATCGCTTTTGAATCCTGATACCCTCGACCACAAGTTAAATACCATAGAGCCAAACGAGATCGAGGCACATCACATATGTTGTTTTTAGGAGCAAATTTTGAATGTGCAGTTGTTGTTGCGTCTTGCCATCATGTAACTGTCGCTCACTAAGTTGCCTAGCATGCACTGAGTACAAAGCATTGTCAAAAAAAAAAAAAAAAGACATATTCAACTTTATTCACCTGTTGTGATGTTTGTGCAATAACCTTATAATTTTTATTACTGTATTTTTTTTTCTTACTCCAAGAGAGGGTACTGCGGACCGAGCTGTAGGTTATTCAAATGAAATTTTTTATTTTTTTTTTAATCAAAATTGTGTTAATCCACTTTGGTTGACCAATGGCAGAGTCTCTCTTTCTCTCTCTTTTCCTTCCATGTTGACAGCAAAGAACAGGAGGAGAGACGGGTGATTAAGTTGGCCTACTGCTACATCTGAAAGCATATACTGTTGGCATAATGTTCTCCTTGGCACACAGCACTGTGAAATTGATACATCACTAAAGAATAAAGAGTGGGCAATTCAGCAAAACTTTATATATATATATAAAATATATATATATATATATAAAATATATTTGGCTGCTCCCTATCCTTTCATACTCAAAGGTTTTTTAAGCTTTGTGTGCACTGATGGCCAGTGACATCTGTAAATGTGGATCTGAGTCCAAAGCTGTCTGTTAAGCCTTTGAGGGTTGACAAGAAGAGTAATTTCAATTTCCCTCTGTGCCTGTAATTAAACAAACAGAGCTCTTGCTTCAGTATCCCCCCTTTGATCTCTGATGTAACTTTGGAACAATGAGCCGGTGTTTGCTGCAAATTAATACTTTCGGGCTCTTTGCTCTTCTCCCATTGGTTATTCACATGGGTTAGAAGATTGCATCACAAAAATGGCTTTTAAAATTTAGCCCTAAGGACGCGTCGTTTTACTTAATGCCTGCAGCAACTCTGAATTTGAATATATATTCAAATTTTTAAAAGAATATAATAAACGTGGTGTTGCATAACTTTAAAAGGCTAAGAAGTCGGTGTGACTTCCTGGTTTCAACAGTCCCGATCTGTGCTCTATATTGTTAATCTCTCAATCATCTATCACTCTCAAAGGCCACCTAATCTTTGTCATTCTCTTCATGACCCACACACATCATAATCCCTCCCATATGGTGTGTGGCTTGGCTCAATTAACATTTCTCCGTCTTGGCTAGCGTCTGCATCAGATTGTGACAGGCTCCCACTTTTTTCACTGGGACTGGTAATAATGGTAAATCTTGTGCTCCAAGCCCTTAAACAACTAACTCTAATCTTCTTTATGCATTAAGTCTCTTCCCCAAATATGGTACTTAGGCAGTGACCAAATCTCATCACTGGGGAGAGCACAGAATCAACACAGAATTAACAGATGTAGCTGGGCCTTCTGTTTACTTTCCCTTTTGTTAAATTTCTTTTTCTCCTCTTGCTTGCATACTTAATGATTACTTTCTGATACATTATGTTTCATTTGTGTATTTATAGCTCAGTCCATATAATGAGAAATGTGGCACCAGCTCAGATCAACAACTGAATTATAATTTGATGAAGTATATATATTCCAGTATACAGTTTTTAAATCTGGTAGAGTATTACTCTGGCTGTATTAATATAGAAGATTACTTATATGTTTATTCATTTTGAATGTTTCCTAGTGAATCGCAAGGATCTTTCACATAAACAGAGAGACCTCAGTGCTCTACATCAAACAAACATAGTAGGCTGTGAGGACCTTCTCATTCATTCACAGTCTGGCATAGCTCCAGGTTGGAGTGGTGCTGGTGGTGTTGTTGGGGTGGGGGCGGGAGGTCTCTTTGGGAACTGGCCCAGGATGGGGAGAAGGAAGAAAGCACAACACTACGTCATTGTGTTCCTCTGCCTTAAAAGACTCTCCTTCATGTGATTATTGCACGGTCACAAAAAAAAATAATACAAAAAGTGGATTAAAATAATTATTTGAAGGACACTGTCTCAATGTCAGCGGGTTTCTGGATTAAAATCAAGTCCATCCTGTTGCCAGAACCTGAACCCGGTTATTTTTCTTGCTGTCTGCACTGAAGTGAGGAAGCCTATAATAAGGATCAGCCTAAAGGTTTCCGCCTGCAGCATAAGCAGAATCTTTTGTTTTTGTGACCTCCTAGCATACATTACCCCAAACCATTGTCTGGCCTATTAAGGATGAGACGGAAGCTCAGTGATCCTGAAAATTATATCATACACAAATTAATGGTAACTATTCATAGGTTGTTTCTTTTTTTAACTCTCAGGACTCACATTTGAAAGCTTCCCTACTGGATATTCACAATTTTGGGAGGAAAATATTTCTAGTGATTTCTGCTCTATCGTTTAATCTTTATAAAAGTATAAATGATCCTTTCTTGTCCCTTCATCTGTTAACCTGTTGAGAGGGAGCACTGATTCATGTGTCATCTGCAAACAAACACTTATTTGTCTTCCAATTTATCAGTATTATATTTGAGAACTGACTGTCATGACTGGTTTGAAGTTATGAAATGTAGATATTCAAAATACTATAAAGATACACTGAGCCAAACAAACACACAGCATCGTCTAAAGGCTTGTATATGTCTGCTGCAAAAGCGAAAAGATCAATTTCATAAAAGATACACATTTATTAGCCACATATCTTGATCTCTAACCATTTTAACATAAAATTAGTAGTTAATGGAAAATATGTATATCACTGTTGCTGTGTGTTAAAGGGTACATGTTTTTATAAAACACAAACTCGAACATCAGTGTCTATATCAGCTGGACTCCAATTTGATGCTCTGTTTGGATCTGAGGCTGTGGTAAAGATTTTCCACCAAACAAAGGAACAGATGCGTCATTGTCTATTGCACTGACAAGCATTCAAAGCTTTTCTGATTTCCACATCTTTCAGACGATTCCTGGACTATATGTGCAACTTTAATAATGTCTTCCTAAAGAGACAAAAGAAGCACTGAATCTTCACTTGACGCCAGCTGTTAGAGCCTTGGACGAAGCAAACTTCAATTATTTTCTGGTGATATACACAGAGTGTTTTTGTGAGATCTTAATTAAAAAGCCTGGACTGAATTTTCAATCATATATATATACTTTAGCTAATTTAAAACCATTTCCCCCTCCCCCCCCAAAAAATACCCTGAGATCTGCTCTTCACTTCAGTTGTCTGGATGGTTGATGGTGGGTTAGCCTTGCTTAGAGACACCCTGCTTGCCAACTACTCGCAGTTAGACTTGTAGTCAAGACCGCCTAAACCAAGACCAAGACAATACCAAGACCAGAGGGTATTGACACCAAGACCAAGACAAAGTCGAGACGAGACCAAGACTGAGACGAGACAAAAAGGTCTTTAAACTGCAGCCAGATGCTGCTTCGTTTACGAGTGTCAGGCATATTTTTGTGTTTTTGCGATGCACTCGCACAGCCCTCTTCACCACTGTCTACTGTCTCACTCACTTACTGAGAGGACAGGCTCACGCTCCACTTGACTGTCACGTCTCTCACCCTCTCTGTTTTTCACATAATGATATTATCCTATATCCTCGCATGTGATTGGCCACAATATGGAAGGATTGGAGCATAGCTGAGCCACTGTGTGAGAGCTGAGCAGCGAAAGGAAATTAAGTGAGGAGACGGCTCTCGCTCAATGGGAGTCGACTCTTCTGATTCACTACAAAGCACTCTCTAAGCACGGCTCTTAGAGCTGATGCTTTCGCGCATGACACATTATCGAAGGTTACGTTGTGTGTCATGGATACTGTTGACTCCAAATCTCTCTACTACTATGTCAATCTGAGACAGCAAGACCGAGACAGCGAGACCAAGACAAGACCAAGACCTCGTAAAAGTGGTCTCGACACATCCAACTCTACTCGCAGTAATGGTGAAATTTGAAAAAGTGCAACACAAACCAGAAAGTTTAATAATTTACCTAGTTATCGCTAAGTCCTTTTACTTTGAAGGCAAAAAGTCAGCCTTTTTCCACTGAATCACTACTTCATGGTGAGCAGTTAGCATCTTCCTTACGAACTATGACAAGGGTCATCTGCCAAAACAGTCAGAAATAGGTGTTTCAGTGCAGCCCTGCCACCTCTTTGTGACCAATTTCACCTTGACAGCCAGCAACCACTTGCCAACTGGTTGGGGAATACATATTTTCCCTGGTGACTCATGATTGCCAGAGGATCGCAGACTAGTTTCTAGGCCTGTGGTACTGAGCTAATAGAAAGATGGGAATTTTCCTGCAGAGTGAAACTACCTTAGGTAAGCTGGTGATAGTTTATATTTTTTACTAGTTATCTAATGACACTGACTACTGACAGTCACCAGCCTTCCTCAAATCAGGTTCTTTCTCAGGAAATCAAGTAAGTTGTTGCACTTTAAACAAATTTTAAGGCATTATTTCAAGGTGAAATGAAGGGAAAGTTAACCAGTTTGATTTCCCTGCTCCCAAGCTTCAGAGAGGAAATTAATAAGCTTTATTATGTTGGCAATAAAGATTTCATGGCTACAGCTCATCTTTAAAAAATTATAGCTTTATCAGTAAGTCAAATATAAGTCGAGCTCCTAATAGGTTTGTTTTTATTTGGCAGCTTTTAACATATCGGTGAAGCTACATTAATTTTTCCATAGTCTTTGAGTCTTAAAAAGACATTTTGTATTATACTGTTAGGTGCAAATGTCATTACATTTTGAGCTCTTAGATCTGAATGGAAAAGTGATTATGTATAAAATTAGACGCCAACTGCAAATCATATAAATCATAAAATCTTAAGAGCAGCAGCTATTTTTAACTCCCTCAGAAAGTGGATGATCCATTTTCACAGCCTTGTTAAAGAATGAAAAACAAAATCTCTGTCACTGAGGATGATGACGATGATGTTGTGATGCTGCTGAATCCTTAATAAAGCCCGTGACATTTGCTGCAGCCTCTGCACTTTAAGCAAACAAACCTCAGGATCCAGCTGGTGCGTACTCGTGTGCATTTCCTATTCTATTACCTTAAAAAAAAACACCTTAAAAGGAAAAGAGGCACCAAAGACAGTGAAATAGAATCTACTTCCTCTCAAATTTATAAACTGACTGATGTATCTGTGGCTGAGAATTTTATATTTCAGTCGAGTGAATTAAGGACTTTAACAGGTCCCAGCAGCTGCTCACTGAGGCTTGGTAACCATAATTAGGATTGGCACTTTCAAGCATGCTTTTAGTGACCAGGGAGTCCAGACAAGGCTCTCTCAGTTTGGGGTTTGAGGCTATGCAACACCAAAGAAAAAGGTCATTCACAATCAAGGTCTCAGGGGGAGCTTTTTAAAGGCCTTTTCTACTTCCAAATCAATCACAATTTCACAGGCAATTCTTCAAAGACTGAGAGTGCAGTGACCTATTGCCATCTGTAGCCTCAGTGTTGAAGCGGGGTCATGCGCAAACACTTGCACCATCTAAATGGGATCTATAATTTGTGATGATTGTTAATATAATGCCTGATTAACATTTCTGAAAAAGGCAGAGCTTTCAAAAATGCATTATTGTAGTCTTTGACATATTTTTAACTAACAAAACAAAGTTGAAAGCAACTTGCTTACCCACAGCATTCAGCACTGGACCCAAGTCTGTTGACACTTGTGAAGTGCAATGCAATAGGAACAAACATTTAACCCTGAATATATTAGATGAGAAATCCTATCACTGAAGGCCCAGATGTTAAATTATTTACATTTGAAAGGCTTCAGTGAATCGAATGAGCAGGGGAATTTTCGGCAGGCATAAGCACACTGAATCTCACACGCGCCTGTCTGCACGCAGGTAGCAACAATCCAGTATTTTTTTCTGGCTTTAATCCCAATAGTTTTTAAGCTGCGTTTTATGTAACAAATGTAAAAGACTGTGCATGTGCCTGGCTGGAGTCATATATGTCGTTATTGCCAGCTGTGGCATGCTAGACCCGCCATCTTTCTGGAGCAGCATGATGGATTAAGACTTGGATGTTTTTCAGTATGATCTTCTCAACTCTGAAATAACCCCCCCTTCTCCCCTCCCTCCTCCTCCTCCTCCTCTGTGGCACTGGCACAAACACCAACTGTGGCTAAAAGTGATTGAATTTACCTTTAAAGCCACTTAAATCTCAGTTTAAAGGTGATGACCAGTGCTACATAAGAACAAGTACCGTCGGACTGTACAGAGACGTGGTGCCTCTCAAAAAGCATATTAATCGAAATTAATAATTTAAATAATTGATTAAATGAGAACTTCTGTGCTAAGTGTATCTTTATAGTATTTTGAATATCATATATATTAATATCATATTTGATAAATACTTCTAATACATTTTAAATAACTTCTCCCCCTTTTTCATGCTTGTAAAATGTGAGGACTTTGCTCTTCACCATTACTGTAAACTGACAATAATCATTTTGTTTTTGTTACCTTGGGCTCCTAAATATTGTTACAAAGTTGTACATGTAATATTAAAAACTAGAAAAGAATTTACAAAATGCCCGATAAGCCTAATTTACATCTAAAAATTGTCCTCTTGACTATGAGGGACATTTACTAATAGTAAATGAAACATGTTTAGTCTTATGATATCAAGGTTTTACACGTAAACAGTGTTATGTTTGCAGCAACTACAGTTAGCGTCTGGGAATATTCCTTCTGTTAAAGTGTTTCATGCAGCGACAATGATGAAGCTGTCCATGTCATTTCCACAAACTGTATTTTATATTAAAATCTGAGCTTAATTCTGTTCCTCATTTCTTTATTTTATCTTAATATACTTCTCATTTTATGTTATGTATCATATTAAAGTATATCTGTAACTGCTGTGTGAAAGGAACCTACTTTCACTGCACAGTACAAACCCACTGTGGTTATTTACACGTGCATATGACAATAAAATAGCTTGTACTTGTACTTAATTAGCCCAAAGTTGTCAAAAAAATTTCTAGCACCAGAAAAGCATTTCACAGTACTTACAAAACAACAGATGCAGGGAAACTCTGAGGAAACATCTTCATTACTGCATCTTCAAGTAGTTAAACGCAGATGCAAACGGATGATAACTAAAGTCATGTTACTTGAAATAAAGAAATTTATAGACACTAAAAGTGTCTATAAAGTGCTAAAGTTTAGCTTTTCAGAGCACGGGTGCTTTGGCACCTTTAACCCTTTCACAGTAAGTCACCTCACATCTTTTGGCTTCAATAACTGATCTGTAAATCACAAGCTGGTGACTTTATATGTTAGGTATGATGACTGTTTCCAGTAGCAGTAAGTTGCAAAGGAGACAAAACTACAAAACAAGATTAATAAGTATGAATGTCTTTTGATTTGGAAAGGGGTTTTTCCCCCTAATTGAAAAATGTGTAAATGCATAAGAGAATAAGGGATGGCTGAAATGTTTCCCCTGATTATATGTGCTAAATGTTTAATCTGTTATCCTTTATGTGAAAATTAACTGAACAAATGCCAAAGCTTTCATAAAAGTTATTGTGACAGCTTGTGAAATTCAGGCTCTGTAACAGGCTGAAGCCAGGAGAGTTCAACTTTTAATTTGAATAATATTAAATCCTGTCATCTCAACTGGGTCCCTTAGCAGCATTATGTGACAGAAGTACAAACGAAATGGGGCCGTATTATGCAACTATTACAATTCAGCTGTGGTAACCTTCAATCTTTAAAAAGACACTACGTGAATATCTATACCGAGAGAAGCCAATTGATCGATAATTTTTCTGCTAGCGCTTTGATGTGAGCTGGGTAAAACTCCTTCCACTTTTTTCTTCTTGCAGGGGGCATCTTTGAGACTCTTGAAAATGAGCCCATTAGTGTTGAAGAACTGGCCTTTAAATTTGCCGTAACTAACATAAACAGGAACCGGACCTTAATGCCAAACACCACGCTGACCTATGACATCCAGAGAATAAACTTATTCGACAGTTTTGAGGCTTCAAGAAGAGGTAAAGATCTTGTCATTTAATTTTGAAACCCCACTTGAGAATCAGTAAGAGATTTTTGTTGAGATTTTATTTTCTTCCCACTTTCTGTTTGATTACTTCAGCCTGTGACCAGTTGGCGCTGGGCGTCGGTGCTGTTTTTGGACCCTCTCACAGCTCATCGGTCAGCGCAGTCCAGTCTATCTGTAATGCCCTGGAAGTCCCTCACATCCAGACACGCTGGAAACACCCATCAGTGGACAACAAAGACAGCTTCTACATTAACCTCTATCCTGAATATGCCTCTATAAGCAGAGCTGTGTTGGACATAGTGCAATTCTACAAGTGGAAGACGGTTACTGTGGTCTATGAGGATGCAACTGGTAAGTTGAGATGGGAATGAATGATACAACATAAGATCTGGAGGGAAACACAGACTTCACTATCATACTGAAGGGCCGTTAGTGATTTAACACAGCAGGAAGAACATAAACTTTACTTTTAAAGTATAAAAATGTGGCAACTGTTTGTCATATTTATAAAGTGCCCTTGAAATAAGAACTACAACTCCTGCAAGTCTTTGCCTTAGCAACCCTGTTAAATTACCTTGAAGCTATTTATAGATGAGTCAATGTGCCCTGCACGTGCTCTAAAACTTTTAAAGAACAGAAGTCTTCTGGAAACAGAAGTCAGTCCCAACAGATGGTGAGACAAAAATCACTCCTAAATAAACAGGAAGAAGCAAATATAAGACAGAACTAAGAAGTGAGGATAATGCACAAGTAGTTATGATGATTCTAAATCAAGAGTTTCCAATGCCACTGTGATGTACACTCTTTCAACCTGGCTAACTGTGCTAGAATATGTCATGGTCCTGTTACTGTGAGCAGTTATGAGAGGAGAAGATGATCAGACCTTCAAAGGACATAAAGTCAAAGATAAAGCTTTCTTTTTGAGAGTTTAAGAAAGACTGCTGTATTATTTGTTGCATTTTCATTTTGTGCTACTTTACAAAAGATTAAGACCTTGAGATGTTAGGGCTATGGCTTCTTAACAATTACCATGTGACACAACTGTATTTCTGATTACTCTGAATCCTCAGACCTTGTCCTAATGATCAGCAGCCATGAGCTCCACTAAGCAGTTTTCCAGCACTCTATGAGTTCAAATAATTTTCCCACCATGTAAGAAAAGACTAAAAGAAGATAACTGAGCATTTTCAGGTACCAGTCTCCTCATTAATAGGAACAGAAGATTTGGGATTTAAAGCACCAGAAAACTTTCCAATTGATCTCTTCCATGATTGCTTGGAAGGTAAATAAAGACCCAAGGTGATGGAAAAAGCCCTTAAGAACTATATAGTCTGGAGGGACAGTGTTGGGTTTGGGCAAAACTGCCCCATGCTAGCTGTGAAAAATAATACCGAATGACTTTCTTGGGATTATTCTAGTTTTAAATTGGACAAAACCAGAAAGCTAAGCCTGTGAACCAAACAGAGGAGAGTGTCAATGTCTACATCAACAAACAGGGTGGCAATACTGCATGCTACATTGTTTAAAATCAGGGTGCAGAACCTATAACGTGGTTGTGCTCAGAAATTCAAAGTTCTACACTGGCCTTCTGTTTAGCAGTACCTACAACATCAGGTCTCTAAGGTACTACATGCATTCATCGTATAAATGAATCTCCGCCAGTCTGTGCAAAATTCAACTTCTTTTAGCTGGTTCACTGATTCAACCATAGTTGGGGCAGTTTCTGTGCAGCAACACCTGCACAAATATGACCCTCAAGAGCCATCAAGTCCTCACATTACAGTAAACCTTCTGTCTTTAATCTAAACTCCATCAGTCCAGATGATCCATTTACATAAACTTTTTTTGGCCACAACAAACCAAAATGTGCTTGGAGGAAAAAATAAAAGAACAATGGTTTCATGAGAACAATACATCTCCAGCTGGTGAGCACAGGGATGGATTGGTGCTCGTCTTGCAGCCAGTGGAAAAGGGAAAACTTAACTTTGAGGCAGAAGAATGGATTCAATAAACAGCAGCTAAATCTGTGTAAATAATACAAGACTTAAGAAATAAGCAGTATTCACCATTAGGAATGCACTTTAAGTGTCAGTGGTGCATACTGCTCAGTGTCCTGATTTGTTGTTTCTGTTGTTAAATGTGATTCATCATTGTTTTTGTAATGATGCTGAAGTTCAGATTTTCTGTTGGTTGGGGTACTCTACAACTTTAGGTGAAAACCATATAAATGAAAACACAGATTAAGACTAAAAGGCTGCAAAGACTTCAGTGACTAATTATACAGTGGATGAAAATGTATTTCAGCAACTGTTTATCCTTCTCATCTATGAGGAACTTTATATTCATTTTCTATTAATGCAAATATAACTGATTTTAATTCATCCTCTTTTTGCTCAGTTTTCCACTTATCATTACAGGGGGGAAAGCGAGACAAGCATTTTCTCCATTTTGAAACATTTTCTGAAAATGAATTGCGATGCCCAAACGAAAGCTTTAAAATATATCGTCATATACTGTATATGCAGTTGTCTTGTACTTTAACCTCATGGAAAATTCTACAATCTGTGCCTAAAACTTGTCTCCAAAAGCATCATGGCCCACTTCAAAAATCCGAAATCTTCTGTGGCCCATCCAAATTTTTTTTATCACAACTCTGATCATTCTACTGTGAAATATTTTTGCTAGTATCATTAACAGCTTTATTTGAAACACCTGAAAGCTATTGCAGGAAATGCAGAATGTGGTGTATTTATTTAGAATACCTTGGCTTTGTTATGCGCTTCTTTTTTCCTTTTTTAATATTTAAAGGAAATGTAAAGTTTACAATTATTTACATTTTATAAATTGCCGCTATGTTTTGACTTAAAAAACTAATTTAAAACAACTAAAATATCACTTGTGAAATTAAAAATATTTTTGCAAGTCACTTTGTGTACAAAACTTTGGGAATTACTGATTGCCACTGAAGTTTAGTTTCAACTATTTAGATATGCAACATAGCAATCCATTGACAATTAGCCTTTAACACTAATCAAACAGACAACTGACAAAAGATAACATCGTACTTTCTGTGACTGCTGCCAAACAAGTGCGACAGGCTGTCGCAGAGCAACTCCAAACGACACATACTCTGTCAAGGAAAAAAAAATATGCAGAAAACTAAAGGAACAGCTTTCTTACCTGGAGAACAGGGAAGGCAGAGTGGAGCCCCTATTCTGGTTAGCAAGCAAATCCATTAAAAGGTCTGGTAGTTCATAAGATGGCAATGCAGTGTTTCGTTTGAATTCTGTTGTCCTACTGCAATGGAAAATTATAAAACATTATCACAACTGGCAGACTCCCACCATTTCCTTATGCGTGGCAGAAAAAAAAAACATTTTTCCGACACAAGATCCAATGTGGAGGAAGCTAGTTTCATGCTAAAGATGTCTAAAGCAAAGTAAACTCCAAACAGTAATGACCAGAATACTTACATATTCTAGCTATAGAATTGCAAGAGACAATTTCTAGTTGTTTTTGTTTGAAAATCTCTGCAGGAAAATATATATATTTTTTATCATGTTGATGTTAATTTGTTGTTGTTTTTTTTTAACATGTTGCTTTGTTAATTTAAGGTTGTAAATTCGCAATGTGACCACTAGAGGGCACATAACACATAAAGAGCCTAGTAGTGACGTGCGATACCAATAATTTCCTTTCCGATCCCATACCAAGTCAAATTCAGGGTGGTATCGATGATATTGATACTTTGTACAAAACTTAATGTGTTATTATATTTTAAATTATAGCTTCGTAACATTGCAGGACTTCAGACTACTTTTTCTTATTGTTTCAATTATGAAGAAATCTCATATAGAAATAAAATCCTGAAGTTGTGATAATTGATGCTATTTGAACATGTGTATCTTGTAATTTAACATGTATATACTTGCCTAGACGTTTCAACAAAAACATTCAACATTCACACTTTCCCTCATTCACAGTAGTGCTGTGCCACACTTGGAATTTGGGTATGAATCCAATACCAAGTACACTGAACAAAAATATAAACGCAACACTTTTGTTTTTGCTCCCATTCCCCATGGGATGGACGTAGAGACCTAAAATTCATTCCAGATACACAATATAACCATCCCTCCCAAACAGTGGTCACAAATCAGTCCAAATGTGTGGTAGTGGGCACATCTGCTATATTGAGATAATCCATCCCACCTCACAGGTGTGCCACATCAGGATGCTGATCTGACATCATGAGTAGTGCACAGGTGTACCTCAGACTGCCCACAACAAAAGGCCACCCCGGAATGTGCAGTTTTTTGCGCTATTGGGGGTCTGGGGACCCAGAACCGGTCAGTATCTGGTGTGACCACCATTTGCCTCATGCAGTGCAACACATCGTCGCATGGAGTCTATCAGATTGTCAATTGTGGCCTGTGGAATGTTGGTCCACTCCACTTCAATGGCTGTGCGAGGTTATTGGATATTCGTGGGAACTGGTACACGCTGTCGTATACGCCGGTCAAGCACATCCCGAACATGCTCAATGGGTGACATGTCCGGTGAGTATGCTGGCCATGCAAGAACTGGGACATTCTCAGCTGCCATCTGCCCTGAACAATGTGAACCATGATTCATCCGTGAAGCGCACACCTCTCCAACGTGCCAGACACCATCGAATGTGAGCATTTGCCCACACAAGTCTGTTACGGCGACAAGCTGGAGTCAGGTCAAGACCCCGATGAGGACGACGGGCATGCAGTTGAGCGTCCCTGAGACGGTTTCTGACAGTTTGTGCAGAAATTGTTTGGTTGTGCAAACCAATTGTTCCAGCAGCTGTCTGGGTGGCTGGTCTCAGACGATCTTGGAGGTGAACCTGCTGGATGTGGAAGTCCTGGGCTGGTGTGGTTACACGAGGTCTGCGGTTGTGAGGCCGGTTGGATGTGCTGCCATATTCTCTGAAACGCCTGTGGAGACGGCTTATGGTTGAGAAATGAACATTCAATGCACGGGCGACAGATCTGGTTGACATTCCTGCTGTCAGCATGCCAATTGCACGCTCCCTCATTGCTTGTGGCATCTGTGGCATTTTGCTGTGAGACAAAACTGCACATTCCAGGGTGGCCTTTTGTTGTGGGCAGTCTGAGGTACACCTGTGCACTACTCATGATGTCAGATCAGCATCCTGATGTGGCACACCTGTGAGGTGGGATGGATTATCTCAATATAGCAGATGTGCCCACTACCACACATTTGGACTGATTTGTGACCACTGTTTGGGAGGGATGGTTATATTGTGTATCTGGAATGAATTTTAGGTCTCTACGTCCATCCCATGGGGAATGGGAGCAGTAACAAAGGTGTTGCGTTTATATTTTTGTTGAGTGTAAATACAGGGCCAGTATTGACGATATCAGTACGAATTGGTTATTCAGGCAGCTAATGGGGGGACGAGTAGTGTGCCATGATTTATAAGATGAATTCTCAATTTGCAAATTCTGAACAAATTTTCACCACCACTGTGATTGTTACTTTCCACAATCATTAGTTAACACAACAAAACACAACTTTCAGCTTTTTGTGTGTTTTGAAACTGAAATGTAAATTTTTCTGTCTGTAAAGACCACAAAAGGTTTGGAGATTTTTCATAATGCACGTTTGAGGTTTATTTTTTCCAAAGAAATAATTAACACAGTTCAGTGGGCTACATACTGAATTTGAAGGATAAAAGCAAAGTATCGATTCAATTGTGCTAGTATTGATCCAATACCAATACTAGTGTTGGTATCAATACTATTGATTTTTGGATCATCCGACCGCCTCTTATTCTTACTTAAAAGTAATTCCGGCTTCCAGTCATGTCTATCTATAGAAGAAAATGTCCATAGTGCAGTGTGAAGTGATTTATACCCTAAGAAGTAAAACATCCCTTCAAATCCCGGAAGAGACACAAACTGCTGCACGAAAGCCTGTAAAAATGTTTTCAATAATATGTGCAGATCACAGTTGTATAATTCATATTTCTTTAAAGCATTTACACTAGTGTGAAATGATTTGCATACTGCTGCATTATAGCATTTGAATATTACTAATATATTTTTAAAAACATTTCCTGTTGCAAATTATACTATTTCAGTATCATTTATTTATTTGCAACGATATGTTATCAACATGCATTTAAACTGCCCGGTAAGCAGCAGTGACTGTACTTGCGGGAACTATTTCAAGGCTACATGACCCACGTGACCCCCAAAATTTCAGGGGCTCTGGTTATCAGGGTGTCTGGCCACTAAGTATCAGGCTAGCAATCACTTATTTTAGGTATGTGACCCCTCCTGGTCACTTTGTGGAACTGCAGCATTAACCAATATAGTGCCAGAGTAGGCATAAATTTAATCTTCTGGCAAATTACAGTAACTAAATATTTTTTAAATATAGTTTTATTGCCAATGTTGAAAAAATCTCTCCTTTTGCAGAGGACAGCATTGTACCTCTTTAAGTAGCATTCCCATAGTTTGAGGAAACCTGGGATTTGAAAACACTGAGGAAGGAAGCAATGAAAGTGCAGATGAGGCAGCTTGTGGTTAAAAGATGCTTTTAAAAACAAAAAAAAAATCCACATTCAAGTCAAAATAAAATAAATATTTGTTTCATATATAATAGCTGCCATTAGCTGCCAAATGTTGTGGTGGGATGCAAAATAATCAGATTAAATGATTAAATGTTTAAATTCTTGCTGCTCCTACGACATGACACCAGAGAACTGTTGACATGATGGATTTCTTTAAACAAGGTTTGCTTTTTTGTGCTCTGCTTAATTTCATATAAAAGGCCCCTAAAAATAAATGAGAGGTGCTGTAATACGAAGCAGGAGAAAATGCAGTGACCTCAATCAAGGCCAATTTTTCATTTTGCAGTTTTAAAGAGAGTAATCTGGATTTTAAGCGCATTGAGCCAGCTGTTGTGGTGAATAAATATAATGGAAGTTAACTGAATTGAATTTGAACTAAAATTGTGTGGCTTGATCCTTTGCCTTCTTCTTCATCGCCTTATTTCGGCTGCTCCCTTTTGGGTCTCCACAGCAAATCATCTTCTGTTTTCCTCCATATCATCTTATTCCTAGCATCCTCTTCTGTCACACCAACACTCTACACATCCTCCTTTATTGCATCCATAAATCTTCTCTGTGGTCTTCCTCTTTTGAATGGCTTTAACATCTTCAGTATCCTTTGCATATCCACTATCCCTCTTCTGCGAATGTCCAAACATCTCCACACAATTTTATTGAATTTGGCTTGGTAGCTTTGGCCTTGGAGGTGGAATTTTAGTTTTTCCTTACATCATATAAGTAAACTTGTACAGTTAAAATGTTCCAGGTGGAAGGTTTCCATTAAAACGGGGACTGTTGTGTTTAATAATTGCCTCCTTGTCTTTTGATTCAAGGCCTGATTCGTCTGCAAGAGTTGATCAAAGCTCCATCCAGATACAGCATTAAAATAAAGATCCGGCAGCTGCCCACAGGAAGTAAAGATGCCCGTCCCCTGCTGAAGGAAATGAAGAAAGGGAAGGAGTTCTATGTCATCTTTGACTGCTCTTACCAAACATCAGCTGATGTTCTCAAGCAGGTGAATAACATGCACTTCTGCCAGTTTGTGGGCCACTGAGGGTTCAGCCACACGCCACATAAAGTGAAAATTTGATCAGATAACCAATGTGGATTTTCTTTCTTCAATGGAAAAAAAAAGCCTCTAAATCTCTTTTCTGAATTGCTGTTGGTTTAATATTCACTACGTGCAAGATTAGTGCACTTCTATCCCCTTCAGAAATCCTGTGTTCATTACCAAATCCAAGCAGAGCCTATTTCTGGGCCAGACGTACACGTTTAGAACCAACAGCTGCTCGGAAGATTAATTGAAGACACTTCACTAACAGGAGAAAATTGTGACATATACTCACTCGCATAGTTGTTAATGTGAGCCAAAGAAATATGAGACAATTCAGGAAATGGATGGAATAAATAATTTGCCGCTCGCTGTGGTTGTGGGTATGGTTGGTTGGTCTTAGGCGGAAGAGAAGATTATTTATTGTGGCTGGAACAAACCTCCACTGTACCGTTAAACAGAAAACTCTCAAACACTTTCTCCCTGTTTAGATTCTGTCCATGGGAATGATGACTGAATATTACCACTTTTTCTTCACCACATTGGTAAGAGACAAATCTTTTACAAAAAACCCTCTTTCTGATCATAATAACTGTGACTCCTGAAACTTGATAGATAGGTATTTTGCTATGATGCCACATAACTACACAATGCTGGCCTGCCTAAAGTCTGTTTTTATGCTACACTACTGAGTTATGCTGATGAGCCTGCACATCTGTGGTTTGTTTTATAATAAGGCTGCTGGGTGCCCTTGGCATAATTCCATGTTATTACCTTGTACTCATGTTGTTCCACTGTTTTAATCAAGTGTTGGTTTACCCTTTCTCTTCAGTTAACTATATCTTGGTCTCATATTGACATTAGGAGTGAAAGTCAGTAGAGGGAAGACAGAATGTGTTTAATTGACAGACAGGCAGGTTTAACAGCTAAGATGCAAGGAGTAAATATGGAGGAGGAGTAGAAACACCTGGGTCAACCATCCAAAGTTCCTGACAGTGCGCAGGGAAGATTAAGAGGAGCGTGCAGGCAGGGTGGAGACAGGTTTTGTCAGTGATCTGTGACAGAAGGACAGCAGCAAGAGTGAAAGGGAAGGTTTACAAGATGGTAGTGAGATCTGCTAAGATGTATTTGGACATTGACGCACTGTTGAAGATGTTAAGATTTTCATTGGGAGTGAAGAGGATGGACAAGACAAGTGATTACATCAGAGGGACAGCTCAAGTCGAGCAGTTTGAAGAAGCAAGGCTGAGATGGTTTCGGACATGTGCAGAGTAGGGATAGTAGCTATATTGGACACAGGATGTAGAAGATGGAGCTGCCAGGCATAAGAGGAAGACCACAAAGAAGGTTAATGGATGTAGTGATGGAGGACATGAAGAGGGTTGGTGTGACAGAGAGGGATGCTGGGGACAGGCAGAGATGGAGGCAGATGATCACCGCTGAAAGAAGAAGATTATGTCATGTCACATCAATCCCCTTAGGACCTGTTTGCCCTTGATTTGGAGCCGTACCGCTATAGCGGGGTCAACATGACGGGGTTCAGATTGCTAAACATAGACAATCCTCATGTGGCTTCGGTGGTCGAAAGATGGGCCATGGAGCGACTGCAGGCACCCTCCAAAGCCGAGACTGGAATGATGGAGGGGATGATGACAGTAAGCCTAGTTTTACCTAATGCTTTCTGTATTATCGATAGAAACTTTCAAATCAGCACATGAAATAGACATTTTGTTAACTTTGTCTCCAGATACTATCAAGTAACAATGTAATAAAAAGCCAGACATGTAAATGTACCTACTCAAGCTTTATTTGTAACACTGCATGAGATCTTTAATACATTTTCACTAGCTCTCATTGCATACACTTGGGTCAAAATACAGAAATTTTATGAATTTTCTAAAACTGCTGCTGTACCTTTGAGTGTGCTTGCAGAAATGAAATGCTGCTGTTTATGTACATAGACAGCCCGGGTGTGATAACTGGATGACATGTGATTTGCAGTCCCCAGTAACAGAGGATGATGGCCACATTTCTCTTTCAGACTGAAGCAGCTCTGATGTACGACGCCGTCTACATGGTGGCTGCTGCCTCACAACGCACCTCTCAGATCACTGTGAGCTCCCTTCAGTGCCACCGACACAAACCCTGGCGCTTTGGATCACGCTTCATGAGCATGCTCAAAGATGTGAGTCTGCCTAATGAATGTGTGACACCGGCGCTCCATCCATTCATCTGTCCTTTTCATAGCCCGCTGCCTCTGTGTCACTTGCTTTTGTGCAAGAGCAGAAACAATAGAGTTAGGAGATTAGATCTGGTGAATGAGCAACGAGTGTGTGATGATTATATTGAAAATAATTTTTTCAAGACATGGTGATTGACGTCATGCATCACATGTTGGTAGTCTTGTAAAGATTAGAGCTGTCCATGGAGGAATGCTGCTCCTTGTGTGAATGTTTATGAAAGCAGGTAAAGACAATGTAGATTTGAGACAGCTCCTCATGAGCTAATAATAATGCTAAAACTGAAGACTCGTGCTAAGGATCATGTAGCATGCTTCTTGCTCTGTTGAACACGAAAAATATTTCTGCATGAATTGTTGATCTAACAGCAGATTAAACAGAAACACAATGAGACAAACACTCAGCAAAGCCTGACAGGTTGAAAAAAACACGCTGCCTGCTGTGGAAGCAGACTTTTTCATCTGTGTCAAGATATATTCATCTCACTTTAATAAGCTCTCTTGTTATTGCACTCTCTAATTAGATGTTTCTTTAACCAATGAGCTCTTCTTGTTGTAAGTGAGGAGAGAATATTGACAGCAACAAGCAAAGCCAAATGACCCAGGCAGCAGAGTGTAAATGAATGAGACTTTTAGCTGTATGGTCTTTAAAGGTAAAGATATTGTCTGTAATTAGACTTGAGAAAAGTATTTTTACATAAAAACAAAGCGATGTAAAATGTAATTTTCTTGTCGACTGATGACTGCCACTGTAATATTCTTTCTTCTACACACAAAAAAGCCCAAACATCCTAAAATGAACATTGTTGTTTTAGTACAGTGGTTAAATTTAAAAGTGCCATTCCAGTGCTTTCTTTTTACTGTTCTCCCATTTACAGCATATTATGCATACAACACACGTCACTACCAGCCAATATTTTACTGCCATACTATATAGATTTTCAATTTACTGGTAAACCTTAGCTACTAGGGTCCTCGGCTATGGTTGTGAACCTGGGTAAGTGATTGAAAGAATAAGACTGGAGATACAAGTGACAGAACTGAGCTTCCTCTGAAGGGTGTCTGGCTCATCCTTGAAGGTAGTTTAAGGACCTTGATCATTTGGGAAGTACTCGGAGTAAAGCTAAAAGAGAGAGTGGAGGTGATTCAGGAATTGTATGCATCCTAAGCAAGGGGTTCTGGGCATATCCAACCAAAAAAGAAGCAGGGAAGATCCAGGACATGCTGGAGAGATTACGTTTCCCAGCTGACCTGGGAAAACCTGGGAAGGAGAGGGGAATATACAGGTTGTGGATGGGGAAAGGACGGTCTGGGCATTAGGCTCGATGGCTGGGTGAATGAATTGATAGAAACTTAGCAGAGAAAGTAAGGAAATTTGTGTTAGCAATAAAGCCTATATGGTTGGATAAAGAAGATTTGGCAAGTTTTTTATGGGCGCAACCCACATGCTCAGCTCTGCTGCTCAACCCACAAATGCATTTTCCTTACAAATGTGGCACCATTTGGAGGTTTGGAGTCTTCTCCCACCCCCATTCTCTGCGGCCTGCTGGAGCGGGAGGGCTAGTAGGAGGAGTTGGCCGTCCGACTGCGGTCTGGGGTGTGGGGCCTCCCTGCTGCTGCGGAGACGGGGTGGTCTGCCTCTCCCCACCGCAGGGAAAAGGGTAACACCACCTGGGTCTGGGTGCAATTCCCCCTCCAGGGGCAAGGGTACCTAGACCCGGTTTGTAGAGTACGCTTGGGGAGTGTGATTGTGCGTACAGCGTCTCTTTATGTCTGTCTCCACGTTGGTTGAGTGTGGAGTGAGTGCATATGAGAGCATGAGGGTGGGATGGATGTTTGTGTCTGTGTGTGCCTGTATGTCTGTGTCTATATGTCAGGTTGGGTGTCAGGCGCCACCTCTCTGGGGACACCTCAGGCCCTCCAAGGTTTGGAGGCCTATCTCCACCCACCACCACTTCCCCTGCCGGTGGCGGACTCCCTCAGGTGTCGGTGTGTTGGTGGTTCTTTGTGTCTGGGGGTGGGCGTCTGGGTACACACCGGCTCACTCCTTGGCGGCCGCTTGTCGGGGCCTGGGGCCTGGGGCTCGCTCGGGCCCCTTTGGAGGTGGGTGCCCCGGCCTCTTGGCCTAGGGCTCGGTCACTCAGGCGCAGCTGGGGGCCGGCGGAGCTCACGGGCGCGTCACTGCAACTCCCCTGACTTCTGCTCCGCGGCTGCTGGGCGAGCCCTCATCTGGGACTCTCCTCAGCTCTTACTGGGACAGTGGCGCGGCTGCCCCTCTGTTGGTCTTCCATGGTCTCTTGTGTTCTGGGGGCCTCTGGATGTCTGGAGTTTTGATCTCCTCCACACCCGCTTCATACCCTGGAGGACGGGGCTGTGGCCCCCCACACTCCCTAGCAGATCATTACATGGAGAAACCTTTGGAATGCAAGCATGCTGATCCACACAGGTATGCACACATGGGTATTCACAGACGCGGACTAAAGCTTTCTTGGCTGCTACCTCAAAGCACACTGTGCGCTGTCTATCTTGCGTGCTGCACAATATCGTTTATTATTTAGTAAATATTGATATCTATGACTAGCTAGTTTATTGTGATGGTGCTTTGTTTTCTCTATTATTATGTTGCTCTTTGTTGTTTGCTGTCTCCTCTGTTTGTTTTTGTTTGTTTGTTTTTTTTTTTTTTTTTCCATACAGGTGACCCAGGAGTTTTTGTTTTTTTTTCTCTCTCTTCCCCCCCTTCTCACCGTCTCTTCTCCCCTTTGGTTTTCTTTCTTTCTCTCCCCTCTCTCTCTCATTCATTCCCCCTGTCCTATTTATTAAAAAAAAAAAAAAAAATGACAAAGGATGAACTGAAGCTCTGCCATCACGTAATGTCGCATACTGCTGTTTCTGATGTCATTTAGAAAAGAAAAAAAACAAAACAAAAAAAAACAAATACAAATGTGGCACCATTTAATGAGAAATACTGTAAACAGACTTTCTAGCAGTATAAGATTTATTGCCAGGAAGCAAAGAAATAATCGACCGAACATAAATGTCCTTATTTTTTGTACTAAGTTTAGCTTTTAAATTAGTCATTAATGGAAACACTTAGCAAATCCACGACACACAATCTTACAGGGAACTTAGGGAAGCTGGTTGACAAATACTGTACATCTATCATATTTTGCTCATAAGTTTCATCTTATTATCAAACATAAGTTCTGCACTGCAAAGTAGTATACTGACTATGTGTCTGGTGGAGCTGACAGGGGTGTGCTTATCTGGAGAATGCTTAAACTGAGTATTTGGAATATTCAAAGGAAATGATGTCTTCAGCTTACAATAGACCTGCCATTATGCCTCTCCTTATTCCTGTTACCGCTTGTATAAGAGGCACTCTGATTTAGTCCATGATGCATTACCACACAATAATTATGTAACTCTAACAGTAATCAAACCAGACGTGATGTATGCAGAGCTGAATCATTTATAGCAGGTCATTTCCAAGCTTCTACAAGACAAATTGGATACCTTAAAGAAACGAGTAGCTGCTTGAATGGTGAAAAACACATTCACAAATAAACACACCATTTAGAAAGTTAATGTGTACGTGCCTATATAAAAGTTTAATGGTGGAAAAGTTTAACATATGTAGAGACTATATTGAAAATATGTAAACATATTAGTATGGTCCTTTCAGACTGTATTTTAAATTAAGAACTATAACTTAACAGCATTAGCTGATGGGCCCTTGAGCAAGACACTAAGTGCTGTTCAGTAGCTCAGCCTACACTCTGCTCTTGTGGGGGTGGAAAGGTAAACTGACAAATCTGCCTGCAAGACTTGGTGCTGTGCCACACATTTAACAGGGAAAGTTAAGTTTTATGAAGAACTAACTGTTCAAGAATATTAGGGGCACTTTGAACGCATACAGATGAATGTGCTTGGATCTGATTTTAGATACAGTATTGATGTGGAAAAAAGAAAATATTGTTTTTTCTCACCGTTTCCTCTCATGTGGTCATGGGTTTTTAATGGCGGCAGTATCATTATCTTACAAATATAAAAAATAGGTCCACTTCTTGGACAAACAGTGGTTTTGCCTCTCTATACCACCATAGATTTTAAATCAGTTAAACAACTGTGATTAGAGCCAAGATTTTCCACTTTAATTCAGAGGGCTTTGATAAAAGTTTTGCAGAATTAGAAACATTTTCATACACGGTTTCAGAGGCTTAAAATACTTTGCACAATTGACCAACAACCAATTTCAAGGTTAGGTGAGGCCCGTTCTGTTGTTCTTTCAAGACAAAGGCTGCAAACCGCTGGTTACACTCAAAAACATGGTTACACTCAAGAACACGAGTGTAACCAGTAAACATCTAAAAGAGTCTTCACAGAAAAATATCTGGACTGATGAATCCAAGATTAACTTGTACCAGGAAGGATGATGGGAAAAATATGGAGATATGGTAGAGGCAAGTGGAACCAGACCAGCAGTGTTTATTGATGATGTGATTGGGCTATATTCTCTGCTCAGATTCAGATTAGGCTTAAGATAGTCACTGACTACAAAGGGTTTTCATTCAAGGATTAAAAACAGTCCTAATATTTAAATATATGTAACTATATATATATTTATAGATAGGTGTACTATCTATAAAAATGGCTGTATTTCATAAACAGTAGATACAATATGTTTGTTAAACCCCTTCAATTACTTTTTGTTTCTTTAGTTTAAACTACAAAAAAATTGTCCAACAAAATATAGACCTAACTGCATATAAACTGCAGTCGTGGAAACACATTGTCAAGAGAGAGAAAATCTGATTGGTGAGGATTTAAAAAGGAGAATTAATCAAAAGAATAAATCTGGACTGAAGGGTCAACAGATCTCAAAGATGTGAGTGACGACACTGGAAAGCAGACATATCAAAGGGCATTTTCATTGAATGATACCCTCTAACCTTCTATATGTATTAAAGAAACTGATGTTTCTCATGACGTGATCAAGTTTAATATGAACTCTTAAGTTTATGTGTGATTCCTGACATGGAATACTATCCTCCTTTTCTTTCTTTCTTTCTGCAAAATCAATTTCATCATACTGCTTCAGAATGATGACACTGGATTACATTTTTTCTTAATCTTGTTTTGTTTATTGCTCGTTGCGTGTACTAATGGCTCAAGATGAATTTGCTTCGGTTCCAGTCGAATTAATGGAATATTTTTCACTTCAAAGTCAAAGGCTCACTGTTGGTTTGCATCTCTAAATTCACCTGTATGCTATTTCCAGCAGAATAGATTTTAGTGGAATATTTTGCAGTGTTTAATACTAGCATGACACTGTATTTCTTAAAATCTGTATATATATGCTATAAAAACTTTTTGACGGCATGTCCTCGGTGTCACTCCAATACCATAATGCCTTGCTCTTAGAGTAAACAAACATTAAGTTGAACCAATTCTTTAAAAATACACAAACCACACTGTTCATGTCCTGAATACCATATGTTATTTCCCATGTTTGATATTTGTGGCTGCTTTCAACATTGCTTTAAAAAAAAAGCAACGTTATATTGAAACCTAACTGTAATATTGAGATGCTTTTTTCCCCCGAACTTGACATTTTTGTTCTTACATTTAAATGTAATGTAGTGTTGTCATTTAGAAATCTGGCTTTGTTTTACATTTGGATCAAAACGCACTGGTATTGTGAGAAAGTCCTGCACCACCCCTCATTTCTGTATATTTTGCCTCCAAGAAGCCAGGCTTTGTTATCAAGTGCTCTTGATGAACAATAGTTCTCCGGGCTCCTTTCTGAAGTTTTTCAACATTTTTGTTTCAGCATTGGCTGCTTTTTTATTCATTTTCTTTCTGGTCTTTGTACCTTCGCATGTTTGTTTGTTTTTAAGTCACCTGTGAATCTTTTAAGCCTAACAGGATATTGTATACATAATTTTCCAATTATCATTTCTTTAGATGAATCTGTGAAAAATATCAATTGATACCACAGTGTGTAAAGATAAGGATAATGACTCCCGTGCATTTGAATGTGCTTCAAGAAGTCTTGAGAACTATTCCCAAAGACTACAAAGTAGAGCTAGTGTAAGTAAAAAGCTTGCCAAACAGATTTCAGGTTGTGATGAAGACTAAAGGTGATCCAACCAAAACACTGAGTTTCAAGCTTGTTAAAGCTGTGCAGAGACTGAGTTTGTACACATTTCAATAATGTGCTGCACCTGTTTCCCATTTTCCTAGCAAATATAAAGAAATCAAACGTGAGTCAAGACTTTTGCACAGTACTGTACAAGCATTTTATTTGGGGGTCAACTGACAATAATTATCATTTTTTTCGGCTTTACGGTTAGAATGTCATGGTAAAAATGGTAAATGGCCTGTATTTATATAGCGCTTTACTAGTCCCTAAGAACCCCAAAGCGCTTTACATATCCAGTCATCCAGTCATCCACCCATTCGCACACACATTCACACACATAGACGTCATAGGAATGTACTGAAAAGGTCTATTGATGTTTCGTTGTTGCATCTTTCCATAAAGAAATTGACTTCATTCTCTGTCAGTGCAGATATAAAGCTACTTTCTCTGTGCTCTCTGTAACAGATTTAACCTGACTGTAATTCAACTGAGCTAACTTCATTATCAACTGATTTCAAATATATCTGAGCGCTGCTGCCCACCCGCTGCTCTCTTCACAGACAGAGGGCATGCCTGCCTGCTCCATTTACATCACCATCCTCTGTGTTACAGACTCGGAGACATTTAATATTTCCATTGAGAATCTAGCCAATGCAAAAACATCCATTGTGAGCCAAGTCAGTCTTCTTTGCTTAATGAAGTACTCATCAATTATTCATGTTTAAAAGCTGTTTTCATTTTTTCCGGGCTCCTGCTTTGTTTTGCATTGATATGATGTAAAAAAGGAAGAAAAAAAACAGGAAACAAACCTGAGGGGGTCTTTGCTTGTGTTTTCTGAAACAGGCACAGTGGAACGGCTTGACAGGACAAATAATAATAAACAAGACGGACGGTCTGAGGAAAGAATTTGATTTAGATGTCATCAGCCTGAAGGAGGACGGCTTGGAGAAGGTGAAGTGTCTAACCCATGTTTATACCGTTAATACATGTTACTGTTATTCTGTTAATACACATTAAAGCAGAGCTGAGTATCATTAATGAGCATAGACAGAGCTGTTAACTGCATTTTCCCAAAAATATGCAAAAAGATGACTTGTCTTTAAACCAACATATAGACCAATTTAATTAAGACTACATAAATCTTGAAATGTGGTGTCCTAATTATGCATTTAAAAAGTAACTTTTTGAACTGTTTTGACACACTGCTCTCTCAAAATAACTTGTAGCTGTCTCTTCAAGCTTGCAAGTGTGTGCATGTTCCTTTAATCACAGTGACAATGCTACTCTCGGTTTTGACAGGTCATTAAGAAGCTGTTACCTGTTCATGCTATCATCACTGCAAAGACTTTAAACCTCGGTTAACACAGTTGGGTGTAAAAACTGCTAACAGAAGAATTATTCCCCCTTCTGTGATCTGTGATTAAAATGCTTTCTCTTTATTATTTTTGCAAGACAAACACGGGCAACAACCGCTTGAATAAAGTGTGGAAAAAGGTCTGTACTTTAGCTGCCACGGCACACTAAAGGAATATTGACACCTACTAATTTACTATACCTTTGTGACGTTACCCCTTTTCATTAAAAAATAAAAAGGTTCAGGTACTGGTTCTTAGAAATGGTGTACATTTCTCTACTGGCATTTCAAGTTTATAACATTTTGTGAGCCTTTCCTTTTTTTTTTCCCCCTATGTCTGTGTTTTTCATATTAACTTTTCTACTTGTTACTGCTTTCTTTTCCTGTCTTTACCTTATTTTCCTCAATTGTGCGAAGGTTACCCAGGTAGCAACTATTTAAAGTCCAGCCACTGTGGTTATTTGGATATTTTATTTGTTACAGATTGGTGTGTGGAACTCCCAAACAGGCCTTAATTTATCAGAAATTAACAAGGATTCATCCACAAATGTGACAGACTCAATGGCCAATAGGACCCTTATTGTCACTACTATTCTGGTATGAACAGACATAAAATCATTGCTAGTGAGCATTTGATTTCAAATGTATTTGTATTATATAATCCACTGAAACCTTTCTGTCGTTCACCAGGAAAATCCTTATGTCATGTATAAGAAATCTGACAAGCCGCTTTATGGAAATGACCGCTTTGAGGGTTACTGTCTCGACCTGCTCAAAGAGCTCTCTAACATTTTGGGCTTCTCTTATGAAGTAAAGTTGGTGTCAGATGGCAAATATGGAGCTCAGAATGACAAAGGGGAGTGGAATGGCATGGTGCGGGAACTCATTGATCATGTGAGTACTGATCAGTCAGTCTTAATGTAAGAGAGAAGACATCTTGTTCAAAGCGTCACAGTGTCTGCAGCTGACAGTGATTTTTGCTCTTTACTAGGTGGCTGATCTTGCTGTGGCCCCTCTCACTATCACATATGTCAGGGAAAAAGTTATTGATTTCTCGAAGCCATTCATGACGCTGGGAATCAGCATCCTCTACCACAAACCCAACGGCACAAATCCAGGAGTCTTCTCCTTCCTTAACCCACTCTCTCCTGATATCTGGATGTACGTGTTGTTGGCATGCCTTGGTGTCAGCTGTGTGCTTTTTGTTATTGCCAGGTAAAGAAAAAAAAGTGCTATTTGATGTGAACTTATTATAGTTGCTTTTACATTTAAGCAACACTGTTTATGTAAAGGCAAAATTTCAGTTTAACATTTTGACTTTCAGTCTGTAACAGGCCAATAGTCACTTATTAATTTTAACCGATGATTTTTTTCATTCATAACCTTTAGGTTTACTCCTTATGAGTGGTACAACCCTCACCCCTGCAACCCAGACTCGGATGTGGTTGAAAACAATTTCACTCTAATAAACAGTGTCTGGTTTGGAGTCGGCGCACTTATGCAGCAAGGTATCCCTTTATTATCTTTTTATGCAGGCAGAAGTTTTCCTTTGGTAAAGCACATTTAATCATTCCTTTTAAGTATTCATTTAATTTCAAGTAAGTAAGTATTCAATTTAATTATGAATCAATAATGTGATTTGTAATCTTATCTGATAGGATCTGAACTGATGCCGAAGGCTCTCTCTACAAGGATAGTTGGTGGGATATGGTGGTTCTTTACCCTGATCATTATCTCTTCATATACTGCCAACTTGGCCGCCTTCCTCACAGTGGAAAGAATGGACTCGCCAATTGACTCCGCTGATGATTTGGCCAAGCAAACCAAAATAGAGTACGGTGCCGTAAGAGATGGCTCCACCATGACCTTTTTTAAGGTAACCGTCTTTTTGTTTTACAGGACAATTGTAGGGGAAGAATGGAAATAAGAACACTGCTTTTAATTTTAATTAGCCTGGCAAGTTTTACCCTTGAGCCAACAGTCTTCAGTCATGTGCAGCCTGACTGGCTGGCATAAAATTGATTTGGTTTGGAAAAAGAGGAGGGTTAAAGGTTAGTGTCTTGGAAATTTCCCCATGTATCAGTTTAACAAGAACCTGTGGGAGACTGTTCCATAAAGATTTGACGGATTTATTATTTTGCCTGCAGCAGACCCAGCAGTTTATCTAAATCTATGGTGAAAATTGAATGAACTTGAAGAGATTTGTGCTCTGATGCACAGCAGGAGATGGCACCAGTCAACAGATACCCTGCAAATATGGTTTCATTTTAAATATTAGAAGCAGGCGCCAAAGGTGTGGAAAGGTGTAAAGATGCTTTCTTTTGTCTAAAATGCCGTTTTGGTGCTTGTAGATTTGACCGTGGTTTTAATAATCCACAAATGTTGATTTTGATTCAACAGAAATCGAAAATCTCTACTTATGAGAAAATGTGGGCTTTCATGAGCAGCAGGAAAAACACAGCATTAGTGAAAAACAACCGTGAAGGGATTCAAAGAGTCCTCACTACAGATTATGCCCTCTTGATGGAGTCGACCAGCATCGAGTACATCAGCCAGCGCAACTGCAACCTCACACAGATCGGAGGCTTGATAGACTCAAAGGGCTATGGTGTTGGAACCCCAATTGGTAAGAGTGATCACTATATAATAATTTCAGTAATAACCATTAATTACCATGCTCCTTCTCAGAAACCTAAAGATTACGTTACTGTAATTCCTGCTATAGGCTCCCCTTACCGAGATAAGGTCACCATTGCAATCCTGCAGCTTCAAGAAGAAGGGAAGCTCCACATGATGAAGGAGAAGTGGTGGAGAGGGAATGGCTGCCCAGAAGAGGATAGCAAAGAGGCTAGTGCCCTGGGCGTGGAGAACATAGGGGGAATCTTTATTGTATTGGCAGCTGGACTAGTCCTCTCAGTTTTTGTAGCAATTGGAGAGTTTATTTACAAATCCAGAAAAAACTTGGACATCGATGAGGTGAGCGTCGGCCAGTGCGAATGGCACAACAAGTATTAACAAAGACTGTTATGACCATACTACACGCTTGTGTTGTCGTTCCAGGACTACAGCAATCACTAGGCCAATAAAAACTGAAGTCTGAATGTGTCGAACTGCATTGTTACAATCAAAACAAGTTTTTAAGGCAAAGTTTTGTGTTTTCAGTAGTTTTTATGTAGAGCACACAAACATTTTAGTCTCGATTGGAAGAATAGGTTAGAAACCCTTTTTATGATGATGACAGATTGTTGTTGACTTCTGACATCGTGACTCTTGACCATCTTGGCCTTGCTCTTTGTTTTTGTTTTTTTAAACATTACTCCGTGTGAGAGAAATGTCATTTTCATGGTGTTATGGGTAAGTGATGGTAAGTGGTATCTTTCCAGTAATGACTGATTCTCTTATGACACGTTTGTCATTTTCATATTTACAGCGCACGGGAACTTTGACACATTTACAAACTTGTTGATTTATTTGACAGTTTATGAGTGAGTACTCCCTCAACATCTTATTCATCAAGTTGCTTAATGTCTGTACTTTTTTTGTATCATATGAAGTTTATGAAATGCATGGATACGTTTTGTCATGTTGGAGCTGTTTCAAAATGACTAAAAATATGTGAGAACATTACATCCTTTAACCTTTAACTTTTTGATTGTTTTGCTTTTGATCCTGGGCCTTCACTGGATCGGGCCTCAACTTACACGCACTTGAGGTCGCATTTAGAAGACTAAAGCCTTGTAACTTTAATATGACTTTTATATTGCAGCCGTCTCCCTTTCTCACATTCAGTTGTGATGTTTTTCAGTCTGTCTTTTCTGAGAAACGGCTTTCATGAGACACATTTACTCACGTTATCCAAGAAAAGAGGTGATGTGATTACTGACTTTGGGTTTTTTGGCTTTTGGGTTTGAACTGCACTATTAAAAAAAAGCCACTGCATTACACACAAACACACACACAACTATATTTACAAAAGTTAAACCCTTGGCACACATATAAGCTGTTGGTATTTTTAGTACAGACTAACAAACAATCCTGTATTTCCAAGTCACTTCTCCCACATTCACCATGGATATAAAGTCGTGTATTAAATTGTGCATCTAAAACCATTAGTTCAAATGGATTACAAATAAAATGTAAAGGATAGAGATGTAACCTCAGCATTCAAGAAAAAAATGGGTTTGATGACACATCCTACAGTCCATTCATCCCTGATTCACCTTTCTCTTTGCCTACCTGTTTCCCCTCAATAAGGCATAGCTTTGAAAATAAAATCCTCATCCTCATCATTATAAAGATCCACATTAAACATTCCTGGTTTAAAATTGGCCAGGCCTTGTCACACATATTTGAAAATCCTGCAAATGTAAGGAAAATATTTTGGGTGAAAGTCTGATACTGTATCCTGCTTGTTTTGTCTATACATGCAGGATTAATGTCACATTTCAGATGATGGAACAGGAATAAGTGTAGCTATGACTAAAGACTGTTAAATTACTCATTAGCTCAGTTTAGACTTGGACTGTTTACAATGTCTATCGAGTGCCACAACAGTTACCTAACAGATGATTGCAGTTTCTGGCATTCCTAAACATTAGTGATGTACTTTATTGTACCTTAGGTACCTAAATATTGAATACTTAACCTAAATATTCATAAAGAATCAAATATTAAATATTACAAATTTGCTAGTCTGCTTGTATGTTTATAGTTTTTTGTATGTGCTGAAGAAAAGTTTTTAATATCTAAAAAGTTAGACATTAACTGCACGTGGCCACAATTTAAATGTATAGTATTTACACAGTGGTATGTTTGCGTAAAGAACACAGCTTGTAATTTTTGTCATGAAGCTATAAAGAGTTGTTTCAACAGCTGAATGTTTTCAATGCTAACATATAAGACATGGGTATATCTTGTTATTATCATATTTATGTCAGAGTAAAGTCGAGTACAGGGTAGGCAGGATTAAAGAATACATTCCTCTGTCATCCAAAAAGACTTTTGGAAAACAAAACAAAAAACAGTTGCCTATCAATGCATTTTTTTCAGCTTTTCCCAAATATAAATATAGTCCTACAGATATCTACAGATATGATATTTGCTTTGGGAGCGTTGATGGAAGAGCATAGAGACAGTCAGAAGGGGTTGCACTGTGTCTTTGTGGCTCTAGAGAAAGCATATGATGGGGTGCGAAGCGAGGCATGAGGACAGGGTGAGGTGTGCATTTGGAGGGACAGATGTGTTTAAGGTGGGGAGGGGATTATATCGGGGGTCTGCGCTGAGCTTTTTCTTCTTTGCAGTGATGATGAACTCTCTGTTCAGAATGTTTTTGATGACTGAAAGAGAACATTTAACATGAAAAATAATATAAATGTTAATTCTGTCATTGAGATAGGTGTACTTTTTTACCGTTACTTAAAATACACCTTAGAAATGTGTTTTATATTGTTAAAAAATCTGAAATGGATGAAAAACCTACTCTGTTTGTCTTTGTTCAAAGGTTAATGGGTTCCTTTAAAGCTTTGTGGACTTTTTTCTGCACAGCTAAGCTGAAAAAAAAGAAAAAGATTCTCTGCCGAATCTCTCACAACAGTGTACTTGGCAGAATTGAAGGCATCATTTCTTTGCTTTCCTGCTTGTCTTTTGACACTGATAAATTCTAACAATTTCCCCATGACTAGTAAAATAATATACTCTGGTACAGTATGGTGAGATTTTGTCCTGAAATACCCTTTCTTGTGCTTATAGTGTTCTAAATTCAACACAGGGAGGATTGTTAGGATGAGAAACAAGTGTGAGTGTAATCTGTCACTGTACAACCAGCTGTTGATCTGAAGGTTGCAGATCAGGGTGCTGCCTAGCTGGGGCCAGCATGTCCCCTTGTTCCTCTCATTTCTCTGTGAGATTACAGTATTATGGTCCTCATTCATATAATCCTGTCAATGAGATACAGCCCCTTTCTCTGCACTACCCCCAAAATGAAGTTCAGCACTTCAGCATGTAATCAGTTAGGAGACAGTAGGTTATGAGACTTATGTGGTGCTGCAAGAAGGTCACAGACCTTATGCAAGGATTAATTATACAAGTATTGTGTCTTTCTCCAGGGTTTAAACTAGAGAATATTGGTATATAGATCTTCTCTCATTAGTTTTGCATTCACAGTGTTTCTATTTTGGAAACACCATTGGAGATGCTAATTGACATTTCAGGATATTAACTGCTATTTACTGGGTTTCAGACCAATATTCTAATAAGGATCTTGGTTCATGTTGGTGTGCTATTCCAAAATTGAATTGTCAACTTTTCTTCAGCACTTTGTTGTGTTTATCTCACAAGGAGAATGGATAAGAAGTGTCATATTTGCAACCATAATCATGCATTCGAGCTTAAAATATTGGTGCCTGCTACCTTCTACATATTATTTGCATCTGTGCCATAAAAAGAAACTCTTTGCAGTCCTACACTGAGCAATGTCATTGTTATTAGCATATATGTTCTCCTTTAGCAATGTTGTGAGCAAGCTAACTTCCAGATGCTTTAATTTCTAATCTTGTTTTTTTCCCCTTTCCCTCCTGTTTCCTAATCCTTGCTCCCCGAGTGTAGTACGACTCCATCGTCAAGAGGATAATGACTTGAATCATTGCATAAAAGGGACATAAACGCTTTATGGAAATATAATCATGTATTGAGTGACAATAAAAAATCAAGGATTTATGATTACATCGACAATAAGCTAAGCCAATTCAAGCTGTCACTTTGATTTAAAAAGTAAATGTCCCAAATAAGAACAAAGAAAATGAGAAGGGGAAGAAAAACAACAAACAACACCAAAGAAAAGTCTGAATTCAGATTTTAGGGACAAAAAAAGGAAATATAGGCTATGACACAGAATATGTATCAAGACGGATACTGAGGTCAAGAGGGCTTTGCATTAATCTCACATTATGACAGTTTAAGGTTTTGGTATTCTGATGAATTCCAGGATTGGGCTTTAACTGCTTTCATTTTGTTTGCTGGTCTTTAATCTTCTAACCCTGCGTTCTTAATCAGAACTCAGAGCAGGTTTTTAATCTCGCATGAATGAGGCCGCGGATTATGGGCCTCTGACCTTGCCATGCCTCGCAGCTGCTTCCTCCTCAAATCAAGTCTTTCGTCCTGTGTAGCTTGCAAAAGAGGGATCATCTTAGTCTTGCACTACAATGCCGTAAATTCTGAACCGTATATAAAAGACAAACACTGTGGAACTGAGTTTTAAGATGGAAATTTGTAAATAGGTGCTTGCAGTGCTTTTTTTGAGGGTGATATTCACGCTGACACGCATCAAATTGAAGATTTGGTACAGATGCATCGTTCCAGCGGACAGAGATCATATCTGATGTCTGTAGTATTATAATGATCTAATCATTTTGCTTTTTCGATGGAAAACCAGTTGTTGTGCTCGGAGTGACATCTCTTTGTCAGGGTGTGAGGTTACTTTTCAAAAACAGGTTCCAGTTTTATGAGTTGCTCCATGGCTGCTGGTGTAATTACCACTTTAACCTTGAGGATTCTGTTCTGAGGAAAACAAAATGAGATTGCTTTTTCTTTCATTGTCCCCAAGTGCTACCGTAGTTATTTCAAAGGACACAAAATAATAATTCACATCAGAAGACAAAAACATCTTGACAAAATTGCTTCTTCAACTCTGCAAGACTTTCTTAAAGTGGTGTTTCTGTTCTGTACTGGTTTGTTTGATCTATGATCCTCTCCAGTCTGCAATGAAAGAGGAGCACTCAGACCAGTGTCGGATCAGATTGTTGCTTTGCTTTGTTAAGCCCCTAAAATTTAAACCTTAACAAATGCACAACCCAAGCTATCTTTCCTGCATCTACAGAATAACCCTGAAATCTTAGTTGTTTAAACTGCAGGGATTACAGGGATAGTTGTCAGATATGCCGTACTTTTTTTAATTTCCTGTCTGCAGATTTCCAGGGTACCTTTCCTCTTCAAAGTGCTAAGGTCATTCATCAGCCTCCATCTGACTCTGTCTTTAATTTCAACCTTTTTTAGAGCCTGCTGAATTATTCTTTGCAAAGCCACTGCAGAAGTACTAAGTCTCTAGACAACTATGTTACATATTGTGTTTATAGATATGAACTTATGAAGACATGAACTTGTATTGTTGATTTTGTTGGTTAAAGTTTTTTTTAACTTTGAAGGTTAAAGTTAATTTGTTGGCATGGCCAAAAGATTTTAGTAAGAGCCAGAGATAAATCACAAAATTGTTTGTTTGTTTTTTAAACCTGGGTTTGTTACTGGGTTTTCATTTACTCAATTAAATAAGTTTTGTTTAATTGGATGACAGATAACAGGAAATTGCACATTTTTCTGTCAGGTGGATTAGCACAAACTCCTTGCCTTCCCTTATTTAGAGTTCAGTGTGCAGTTACCCTCCCTGAAGGTCTAGTCTGAGCCTCTTATGTTACTCTAGTCACGTCTGTCTCATCTGGTGAGGTAGAGTTATACTTCCATCTACTGGCCAAACTCTGGTAGCGCACACAACCAAAGATTGGAAGTTGAAATAAAACAATGAATGATAACAAAGTGTTGTTTATTTAAATTTGTAATCCATAAAAGCATTTAATAAAAATACTGAACATGCAGA